GACATCCTTCACTTTCAATATCCTCAATAACCAAACACTAAGCAGCCATGTGCTAGGTCCTGGGGTTGGCTCTACAGGGAATGATTCTTGCCATCAAGGGGCTCTCACAGTTTCCATGGGAAGGCAAGAGCTAGAGAAACGACAAGTAAGTCACAGGAGCATATGCTGTCAAGTGAAAGGATTTCAACCAGTAAGCGTGCCAGTGGCTCAGAGGGAGGGATCACAATATCCTAGGATGGTTGAAGTGAAGGATTCAAGCCTTGAGCTGAACAATGGTTGGACACTTGAGTAAAGGAGCGGCAGAGAAATTATCCAGATTGGTATAGACGAGGCAGAGAAGAAAGAATATAGGTGGCACATGTAAGGCATGATGAACAGTCTTATTAAACTTAATCTTTATTCTGGAGACCTTTCACATGCATCTCCTCAGGAAATGACTCTGTTGTCCTTCACAAACCCAGATGACCTTTAGAGAGTTTAACAGTAGTCCATGAATTCCTACTATGGGTAAATCAGTGTTGGGTGTTGCAATGTTACATAGGAAAGCATAAAGTATAGTCCCTGCCCTTGAGGAGAGAAAGGACTTTCCTTCTGTCAAATATCCAATGAAGGAAATTTCCACGATGGCTGTGCAGCAGTGAAGTTTCATGTCTGATAGAAGGCAGAGGACTCTGGGGAGCATGGACAAGTCTAACGAAAACTGGATTTGCCATCTATCAAGATGCTCTGTTTGGGGGTGGTCCAAAGGGTCTTTTGGTAACTCAGCAGTTTTCGTCTCAGTACTGGTTCCCGGGCTGTGTCTAACAGTCTTCCCAATATACTTCTTCATCAGCATGGAAACTTGTCTGCAGCCACTTACCAGTTTGAAATCAGAAGCCAATGCAACCACAAAGTCACCCCATGTCTGGGCCACTGAGTGACATCCCATTCAACAAGGTTATCTCAGACTCAGCAAATAATCCTGAAGAGGAATAGGTACCAGGATAAGAAAGAAAGAACCAAAACAAGGCAAAGCATGGACAACTTCTTAATTGCTCAATCTTGAGCAAATGGAAGTTTGGAAATCATTACTTGGCCTGAGAAAAATCTCACCCTAGCCCATAAAGCGCTAGTTAGAGGTGATAGGGAAGCAGGAGTTGAGCATCACCTGAAACAAACTGTAATACACACTTGTCTCAGCATCCCACAGACATGGCATATCCATGAAAGATAGGTCTATGAAACATCAGGAACTTTTAAGTTTCATGGGCAGAGTTGTTCCTTATATGACAAAATCAGCAGATGCTTGCCCATCACTTCACAAGCAATGAGTTGCAGGGGTAGCAAGCAGAGAACTGGCTAAGTGGATCAGCTGGAGAACTAAGACTGCAGATTCTCGGTGGGGGTGCGGTGTCAACAGTCACTGTGGTACATTTGACCCCCTGCCTCCTCAGACAACTGAAGGCCAAATGCATGAGAAGGGGATCTTTGGAGCCTTGAGTTTCTGGGGTCTGAATTTCTAATTGGAAAATCACTTTTCAAGAGGAAAAAAAAAAACAGAAGTACAACATTTCAGTCAATTGGGAACTGCACATATGACAGTGGTCCCACAGATTAAATCATCCAGCACTATCATGGCCATCCTTGTTTAAGTACACTCAGTAATGTTCACACAATGGCAAAACTGACTAATGAAGCAGGTCTCAGAAAGTGCCCCATCATTCACCAACACATTACTGTATTTCAAAGAAACAATTACATGCTCTATTGTTGTACTAGAGGAAGCCACAGTTCTCACTTTCTTGAAAGCTAAAGCATACTCCTTGCTCCAGACTAACTCTGGGAGATGGAATTGTTCAAGCCAGGGCACAGAAGATTCTTCAGAACTACCAACTAAGGCTGAGGATGTAGCTCAGTGACAGAGCATTTGCCTATTTTGATCCCCAGAATCCAAAGGGGATAGAGAAACTACCACTAACCAAGGGAAAAAAACAAACCAACAAACAAGGCACAGAAAGCTGCACACCATTTTAAGATCCTTTATTTATAAATCTAAATTTCTCAGCCAGACTACTATGTAATCAAATAAGAAAAAGAAAATGAAACTTGAGCATTTTGACTCATGGTCCTGAGTCTTTGATATTAATAAAAATGTTTACAGTTGTTATTAACCAAGTAGTTTGTAACTTCACCTTCAAGTTAATTCAGAAAATCCCATTTCCTGAAACATCAAGCTCTGAAGAGAAATAGAAGTAAGCACAGCTCTTACCACACAAATACTTCTAAGGCAAGGGGTCAATGAGCTGACCCAAGAACCCATGGGGAAGGTGTCTCAAAGGAAGACACCACATGTGGAGTCTGGTTGTTGAGAAAGGAGATGATTCATCCTCATATCACTCTTTAAAGAACTGTGCAATAAACTTTCCAAGCAACTGATTAACGTTTTAACATACTGGGTTGCTAAAGATGTTAGAAGAAATATCTGGATCTAAAAGACTCTGGCAACACTATCTGAAAGTTTTTATCTATCCTAAATGTTAAGATATATTTTCAGATATTAACAATATTTGTGCACTGGAGAAATAATATTTGGCGAGCAGGTGCAGATCAACTGACGGGCAGGTTGTGGTCATTCTGACACCCTTAATAAAATACTTTCCTTCCTCCCACATCTAGGACAGATGTGTTGCCAGGCTATTGCAAGAATATTCAACACTCCCCAGTCACACCGTCTCAAAGTGATCGTAAAGATACTACCAGCCCTTCTGAAGGGTCTAAATGTTTTCATGGCCACTCCTTCATCCATCTGCAAGCCAATCAAGGACATTCTGAATCACTCACCGCCTTCCCAAGATACTGCCATGAAATATGCCTAGCCTTGGCTTAGCAATGGTTCTGTGAAAGTGTCCTTTATAGCACTGGATTGGACTAGGGAACCAAGCACTCTGAGTCATGTTCTCAACTTTTTCTCCTGTCTACTGAGTACTGTTTCTCTCTTTCCTCCCTTATTTTTTTTAGTTCAACAAATATTTATTCCATACCTACCATGTGCCTGGGTCAGTACTAGGTACTGTCTGTATTGGTGCAATCAAGAAAAAGTCTCTCTCACAACGCAGACATTCTAACTAGAGAGACAAATAATTTCAGCTAGTAATTAATGTCAGAAAGAAAAGTAATAGAATTCAGTGACGCATAGGATAGAGGGTAGAAAAAGCAGAGCCCTACTGTAGGTAGTCAGGGAAGTGTTCCAGGAGGAGCTAACAGCTTAGAGATCTGCGAGACAAGTAAAAAATAAAGATCTCAGGGAAAAGCTCTCCAGGCAGTGGGAACAGACACAAAGGCTCCGAGGTGGCAGACTCAAGAGAACTGAAGGCAGTCCTATGTGATCAAAACTGAACAAAGAGGAGAGTGAATAAAAACGAGATAGGAGAGGTGAGAGGGCTGGAGGGCCGAGTCCACTGCTTGTTATCATTTTAGTCAGAGTGAGATGAGAAACTACTGGAGTTTTACGCAGGGGCTAAGCCATCTCAAAAGGTAGATGATGGCATGTATAAAGGACACTGGTCAGAGAAAGATGGCCAGACTGTCTTTAGAAAGGTACCTTGGGGACTAGGGTCAGACATGGGGCACATTTTCATAGTTGTCATTAATAAGCTGACCAATCCTTACCATCACTTCTAGCATAAATCTCTGGCATTACAGCCAGTGGACAGTATCATAGACTTAGCACAGCTACACTCGGACTGTACCAGAGATGAATGCATGACCCTCAGAGAGCTACATTAAAAAAGTTCTTCCTCACAAGCTGGATGTGGTGCTACACGCCTGTAATCTCAACACCTGAAGCTGAGGCAGGAGGACCTTGAGCCAGAGGCCAGCCTGGGCTACACAGCAAGACTGTCTCAACAACAAAAAGTTCTTCCTCATGCTGAGCCCAAATCTGATTCCTTGTGGCTTTTACTCATTTGCCTCTGTATACCCTTCTGGGCTCTCCCCACAACACCCAAAGAATTCCTTTTTTTTCAGGCAGGCCTAGTACACTTTCCACTTTTCTTCAGTTACTCATCTAATTTACCTTTAATTTTTTATTACAGAATATTTCAAATATTCACAGAAGCAGAAAGGATAGTTTAACTAACCTCCACTTGCCCGTGATCAGCTTCAACAACAATCAATTCAAGACCCAGTCTGCTTCCATCTGGCATTCTGGTTTCCTCCCTTACTTGGTCATCACGCTTGTCTTGCAGGTGTGGTCTGGCCAGCTCAGAGTCCTAATAACTCACTTGAGACCTCACATGTCTGCTAAGACAGCATAACAGTTCCATTACATGTATGATGACCAACAGCTGCTTTCTAACATGAATTCAACTGATTCTACATCTCCTACCAGCAGTTATGCAGGTAGGTTTTTAAGATCCAAGTACAGGGATTTATGTTTGTTCCCAGTGATTTTCATCTTTCAGACTCAGCCCGTTCCTTAAGCCATCAGGATCCTTGTGGACCCTGACTCTAATGTTCACCACCTCCCTCCCCAGCTTTTCTTTAGAAAAGAATGTGAGTATAGGTAAGAATGAATTAGAAAAAGAGTTTAGAGTTGGGATGGCCCAGAGAGAACATTTAAACCCTTTTTTCTACAGATAAATAAACCAAGACCCAGAGAGTGCTCCATGGGAGAAATGCAGGTCATCACTGGCCAGGCTAGTACCTCTGACCACAAGCTGATTTCTAGTCAGCCATTACCCTTTCATGTGGCAGACACTGATCAGGTGCTGCTTGAGGTCAGGCCAACTGCCCTCAATTGTCTCGAGTCAAGTGCCTCCAACCTGCAGAGATTAAATTAGTAAGCATTTTTTCTCTGCTCTTACTTAGTGAACTCTTGCAGTAGTCATGATTATATAGCTGAGTTAGTTAGAAATGTCAAAATGTTCATTAAAAAGATTCATAAATAATCAATGATTTACATATACTAGAAATGAGACACACTCTATTATTCAAAAAGTCATACAATATCTCATTTAGATGATGCTTAACAAAATATACATCTTTAAATTCAGTGCTCCAGAATAACTTTTACAATTGTTTCCATTTGGGAAACAGACTAAAAATAGTTAATAATCATGGACACAACTTCACACAATAATCTGGTAATATGCAAGAAGTAGCATGATGTTTTCTGGGTATTTTCTTGTGGCTAACCAACCACATACCAAAGGAGGGACCAAAGTTCAGATGTAAAAATCCCAGAGAGCTTCCAACACAGGGGGCACCATCTGGAATCTTCCTGCCCTCAGTAAAAGACAAGGGGAGTGGGATTGGATTAGGAGCTTTACCAGGAAGTGCACACCAGACTTCTTACCCAGTCTTCTGGCAGCATCAACTATCAAACCATTTGCTCCTCTTTGCGAGAGGTGCTCCTTTAGAAGGTCCCAACAATTTCTGTTTATATTGTTCGACCAGTTGGTTGAAGTGGGTTTCTGTCTTATTTCCTTTAACTTTTTTCCTAGGTACCTATAAATGAAAGGAGACATAAGATAATAATTCCAAACATTAAATATCACCTTACCATCAGACCACCAAAGAAAGAAAATAAGTAAGTACAAAGATCATGTTAATCAAGAAGAGGCAGATTTCCAGAGAGAGCTATCCTCAGAAAGAAAAGCTCAAATGGAATCTCCACTGGTCTGAAATCAGAGTGGGTGGGCATAGTGACTCAAGTCTGTAATCCTAGGTATTTGGGAGGCAGACATTGGGAGGATCATGGTTCAAGGTCAGCTTGGGCAAAAAGTTCATGAGAGCCCCATCTCAACCAATGGATGAGCATGGTGGCAAGCACCTGTCATCCAGCTTGTGCTTCCAAGGGAAGCACAAAATAGGAGGACTATGGTTCAGGCTGGTAATAAAGAAAAACCCTACCTCAAAAATAACCAATGCAAAAGGGGTTGAAGGTGTGGCCCAAGGAGTAGAGTCCCTACCTAACAAGCGTGAGGCCCTAAGTTCAACACCCAGCACTTCCCTTCACCCCCAAAAAAGCAATCAGACCAAGAGTGAAGGGGATTAGAGCCTGACTAAAGTGCTGTTTGGGTGTTTCAAAGGCTTTTCCCACTCTAGCTTCCACCCACTTTAACCTCAATACCCAGATTTTGGACATTCTTGCTTTCTCTTGCCTCATCAAGAATACCACTTATGGGATTTCAGAAATAGATCTCTGTAATATAGTATAGTATAACCAGAAATTTCCCAGAGACAGAATGCTTGAGTAGGATGGGAAGCTAATGATTCTTTTATTCTTAAAGGAAACAAACTAGAAAGTCTGACCTCAAATGTTCAAGAACACACAACCAAGGGCTGGTGGAGTGGCTCAAGTGGTAGAGTGCCTGCCTCAAAAGTGCAAGGCCCTGAGTTCAAACTTCCCTCCTTCCATACAACAAAAAAACAGAAGTATGCTTTAAAAAAAAAAAAAAAAAAGATGAGTCTGTGACTTCAAGCTAAAAAAGCCTCTGATTGAAACACACTGAGTATATGAAAACCTAGGATTTCATAATAGCAAGAGGAGGTTGGTAGGAAAATAGCTTATTACTCTAGAAACTGATGGAGGGGGGAATACCCTGCCCTTCCTATACCAATGGTATTTTGTGGTAACTGAAAGAGTCTTCTTTTTAGAATTCTATTAAAACCGCAAAAGGACTGATTGAACTGGAAAAATCACCATTCTACAGCCTACAACACTATATTCTACATAACACTCACCAATTATTGCTAAAAACATAGGGGAACTTTCTAAATGGAGGGATAAGGCACACAAGTCCTACATCTACTAATCAATCTTATTAGCATCACTACAAACAGGCAACCAAGTATGACGTGCCATATGTGATATAAGGAAACACACAGCACCACCTATGAAATACTCTTGCCAAGAAAAAAAAAACTTGATCAAGCTTCTAGACCTAATTACCAGCTGAGAGGCAATATGGGGAATCACAGGGACAAGTTAAACAATACCACAGGAAGTAAGCAGGCATTAAAAATAAAACATACTCTAAGGGGCAAATGACCTGGCTTCTCCAACAAATTGACAACATGGGGAAATGGGCTGTGGTAAAAAAGAGTAGACACTATAGAATTAAAAAAAAAGATTTAAGAAACATAAAACTCCAATCTAATGTGTGGACTTTGGACCCTGATTGGTACTAATCAAACATAAAAAGCATTTTTGAGATAATTATAGAAATTTTAATGGAGGCTATGTTAAGGGCTTTTTATTAATTTCAGTAGATAATGACTGTGTGTGCATGCGTGCATGTGTTGTCTCAGGTTTTTCTGAGCAGTCTATCTCTTGAGATACGTGAGGTGGGATTTGCTTTCATACACTCTAGTGGGGTAAAAGCAGACGTAGAAGTAGGGAACACAAGGTAACTACTGAAGCAGAGTTACAGATATGGGGGTTCATTTTACTTTTCTCTGCACCTCAACATCCTCTATGGAGCTGGAGTCCTGCACAGTCCTATAATCCATAAGTTTTACTGTTCACCCAAGGTATGGTTGTGCTGACAACCCAACAAGGACTCATCATACCAAACCATGTGTCTGACAGCACTCACCTGCTTGGATGATAACTGCTGTTTCTCTTGCTTCCTGTGGTTCACCTGGGGTTTTGGCTTCTTAGGAGGCAGGGACTTCATTTTGCCTTTGTCACGCAACCTGAAATAGGATGGCCAAGTGTCACCCCGAGTCCCTCCTCTAATTGGCATCCACCTGAGTTTTCTCAGTCCAAGAGTTAAATTCATTTACTACACAGATCTTTCCAAGCCCAGGAAAAATCATTCTAAAAAGGGTCCTGCTTAGGGGTCCTAAGCCTCAACATTTATGTGCTCATTGTTTTTGTTGGTTTTGTTTTGCTTGAAACTTCACGGAAATCACAGAAACCTTCACTTACTTAAATATGTTGTAAAGATCTACTTTTGTACACAGCCCCGAACAGAAATTACAATGGGACCTCAAGTATGTGGCCTTAGCTAACAGAGCCAACCATCTGGAGAAGCTCTTCAAAGGAGAAAAATGGCATGAAATCTGCCCTGGAAGGCTCCTCGAAGCCCTCTCTGCCATATGATCCAAGAGTGGCATCTCTGCTGGTGTGGAGAGACAGGAGCCTCAACCTCCCGCGTAAAACTAGTACAGCACAAACATCTCTTTCATCCGGATGAATGCTACAAAGAGGAAAACAGGGATGCAAAAACAAACATGCTTAAAAGCTGCCCGTTCTATGCAGCTTTTACTCACCTAATTTTGGGGCCTCGGTGTGAGGGGAGCACCAGGACCTTTCTTCTCTTCTTCCCATCAGGCAGCTCCACCTGCTCCACTTCAGCCTTGGTCTGGAACCCTGTCCATGAGGTGGAGGCCACCTTCCCCTTCTGTTCTCGGGGGACCTTCCTTTGTTCCTGTGTGTGGTTTTGTGCTGCCTTCTGTTGCTTGTCCTTTCCAAGTTCTTTTTGCTCCTTTTGGGGATTACCAGTTGCAGGCTTCACATTCACTTTTTGCTGCATAAAACAAGAAACTGCCATCTGGTTTCTGGATGAAGATTTTCGTTGGAAATAGTCAAGAGGAGCTTTATATGAGTTTGGTAAAAGAAGAGGAATTCTTCCCCCACAGTTGGAGACTACATAAAATTGAATGGAATACAAAGCAGTTCACAAGCCCTGCCATAGTTACAGATGATTACAAAAAACACCCATTCCCCTTCTCATTACAAAGAAACACAAGGAGAAGGCTAGGTGTGGTGGCCATGCCTATAAGCCCAACTACTTGGGAGGCAGAGATCAGGAAGATCATAGTTCAAAGCCAGCCCAGGCAAAAACTTAGCAAGACTCTCATCTCAACTCATAAGCCAAGTGTGGTGACACACGCATCATCCTAGCTATGCAGGAAGCTGTAGGTAGGAGGATCTCAGTCTTATCAGGCAAAAGTTGGAGACCTTACCTGAAAAATAAAGCAAAAAAGTGCTAGGGCACAACTCAAGTGGTACACCAACAGTCTAATGAGTATGAGGATTTGAGTTTAAACCCCATACTAGAAAGATAGGGAGGGAAGGTGAGAGTACTCACCCAAGATTCAAAAGTCAGTAGCAAGGGACAATTCCAAAATGTGTAACACACATGGAAAGAGAATGCCAAAAGACAAAATAAATTATCTGAAGCAATAAATTTTGATTTTTTTTTTTCAAAATCAATGACAAACACTAAAACACAGATCTAGGAGCAGAGAAAAAACCAAGAAGTACCAACAAATAAATAAATAAGCCACACCTAAGTATATTAGTCATATTTCAAAAATATCAAACATAAAATCCTGAAAGCAGGGGGAGGATCTTACCTATAGAGGAACAAAGATAAGATTACATTAGATTTCTCTTCAGAAACCATGTAAACAAGAAGAGAGTATAGTGAGATGCTTAAAGTTTGGGGAAACAACAATCATCAACCTAGAATTTGTACCTAATGAAATTATCCTTCAAAAGTGAAGGGGAAGACATTCACAGATAAACAAAAATTGAGGGAAACCAGGAGATCTACTTTGCAAGTAATGCTAAACAAATTTCTTCAGAGAGAAGGAAAATGGCAGGTTAAAAACTCAGATCTTGTGCCTGCCTAGCAACTGTGAGACCCCAGTCTCACCAAAGGGGGAAAAAAAAAATCTGCTTCTGTATGTCCTGGGAAAAGATGAGTAAATGGAATACTGACTGCATGCTGGCCGTGCTGCATGCTACACAATGTTATTTATTATCTCATTTAATGCTCATCAATAAAGTGAGGGCGATGTTGTTTACCTACTTACAAACTGAGGGTGAGAAAGGAAAAAACTTGCCAAGGAGCATTTAGCAAGCAAGCAAGAGAGCCAGAGTTTGAACCTGCATATGCTTGTTCCCAAAGTCCCTGTTCTACCACATTGAACTAAAAATGGTACTAAAGCCATCAGGCATCACACCTCTGGAGCCACCAGAGAAGAAAAGAGAATTCTGAGCCAAGCATGGCATATTCCTCTAATCCCAGCTACTATGGAGGCTGAGTCAGGAGGTTATCAAGTTTAAGCTCAGTCTGGACAACACGTTGAGACTCAGTCTCTAAAATAAAACAATAATAAATTAAAAAAAAAAAAAGTTCTGGAAGGGACAGCAGAAACCTAAAAGTAATGTAAAGCCTTCGTCTCAGCCATTAGTTTTGATATGTCCCACACCACACATTGTACACAAACTGCTGACCAGTAAGAACAATGGTCTGCCGCTCCTCTCTGTCCTTTTCCCTTCTTCTGTGGAGCTATCCTAAGACAGCCTGCAGAGAAGAGGACACCTGGAAAGCCTTAGGGAACTGGGAGTAATGGGTGAAAAACCCTAACTGGGCAGAAGTGCAAAACTGAATAAAAAAAAAGTTTAATTACATCTTTCAAAAGAAAAGGGGGGAGGGGGAATTAATTTCTGTACCAGGCTGCGTTGAATTCTTAGTTCCTTCATTTTAAGTTTCTTTCCATCTTCCAAAGAGAACTCCACTATTGGTCTCTGTGTCAGAGAAAGGCAGAAAGTCATTCCATTAGATTTTGTAATCTATGAATACAAGAAGCCAAGCTATCTTCCCCACCCACCTCACTTTTTGCACTTTGAGGCAAGCAGTAGATCCACTTCAGAGTTCCTTGTAATCATCTCACCTGCAATCACCTCTCATTTTCCCCACCCCACCCTGTCCACTTGCTACTCTTTCCCACCATTCAAATGTCAAATGGCACTGGACATTTCTGCAGAGGGCCCTCAAGGAGCAGGTCTCCCTGAAAATGAAGCTCACCTTCTGAGGCCCAAAGATTTGCGGATTGTTGTTGATGTGGCGGAGGGCTTTCAGAGCATGCTCATGCTCCTGGAACTCTGCAAAGGCATAGCCCAGAGACTGGCCCTTTACCTTTCCACGAACTCCTTTAAGGTCTCGCATCACCCTACACTATGAGTAGAACAAGAAAAAGAAGGAGTAATTTCAGAGTGAGAAGCTTTGCCTGGAATGAGCTGCTTTTAACAGAGTCAATGAGAAACCAGCTTATGGAAACAGAATCTTCATTTATATGGTGGCTTTCTCCACCATCACAGAAAGCATACTGGAAAACACTTATCAGTGTCCATCTTATTAGGATACACCTACTGACAGCACAAGACAGATTAAATAGATATTTTATTCCTTTCTAAACACAGAGACCTACAAATAAGCCTATAAATATAATAAAAATTCTTGAGGAAATTTCAGTTCAATTTCAAATTTCAAATTTTAGTAGTAAACTATCCACAATACATATAGCTGAGAAGTACATGGTACTTTACAGTGTACAGCAAGTTACCCTTGAGGATAGGTACCTGACCATCAATCTCATCACTAAAGAAAGCCCCCAGGAAGGAAAGTACTGAAAAAGGGAGGAAAGAAAGCCTGATGGGTTTAGATGGGAAAGAGCCTCATCATCACATAGGCTCAGAAATATAAAGAAGAAGTTTCAGCTTTCTTTGTTTAGAACCAGATCCTCTCTGGAATGATTTTTCCAAAATCCTCAAGCTAGATATAGTTAAGTATACTGGGGCCCTGGAGTATGGCAGGGTATTCTGAGAAAGTTTATCATTTACATACTATAATTTTTTTATAATGGAGAACTCTAAATATGGGGGACACACGTTTGGCTTACATCCAGTGTCCACTCTGAACTTAGATATTACTGCACTACAGAGGAATCAAGAGAAGCTGGTGGCTCATGCCTATAATTCTAGCCACTCAGGAGGCAGAGATTAGGAAGATGGAGGCTTGAGGCCAGCCTGGGAAAAAAGCAAGACCATATCTCAAAAATATCCAACAAAAAAAAAGGGCTGGTAGAGTGGCTCAAGTGGTAGAGCATCTGCCTAGCAAATATGAGGCCCTAAGTTCAAACCCCAGTGCTGTCAAAAAAAAAAAGAGAGAGAGGGAGAAGTATACAATGACTTCCTGTCCTCAAGATGTTCATGATCTTACTGGGACATAGTATTTATACTTCCCAAATATTGTGATGGCAATATGAGAAATTATGCAACTGACCCCTATGCCAGTAATACTATGAGTTTACTAACAGTTTGCTAGAAATGTGCTGATATGTTCACGTTCTCTCATGGTATTTCCTCAATACCAATGCATATGTTTTTAAAGAGTCTTTCAGGGATTAGAAAAAGGGTTTATGGTGATAAAAGAGAGCAAAACAGACCAGAAATATTGGCAATGGCACTTTTAAAATACATAAATACAGACTGAGACATAACTATGTGCCAAGTACTACACAAAGGATTAGGGATGAGATAACACTTGCCTCAAAGGGCTGTCAGGAGAAACAAGTGATAATTTCAGGTGAGTGTAACTGTAAGTGCTATGAATGAGGCACACAGGGTGCTGTGGGAGCAGAGGAAAGGACTCTGATTACTCTATAATCAAATCTAGTGTGAATCCAGTGTTTTCTAATTCAAATGCCAAAGATGCACATGGCTGGCTGTCTGTGCTCACCACATACAGGGGACTCTCACCATCAAGTAAGAGCCTAACAGGTAATAAAATGCTCTTCTTCTTCTTCTTTTTTTCTTTTCTTTTTTTTTTAAACAGTACTGGGGTTTGAACTCAGGGCCTACACCTTAGGCCACTCCACCAGCCCTTTTTAGTGATGGGATTTTTCAAGATAGGGTCTAGCAAACTATTTGCCTGGGCTGGCTTTGAACCACGATCCTCCTGATCTCTGCCTCCTGAGTAGCTAGGATTACAGGAGTGAGCCACCAGTGCCTGGTATAAAATGCTCTTCTAAAGAATGAAGCATACAAGTTATTTTCTCTGCAATAAAATTCACATTACAACAACTAGTACAATACCGAGCACAGAGCAAGTATTTAATAAATGCTTGCTAAATTAATTCATGACATTAATTCACATTCTGCTACAATTTGGTCAGATGTGAAAGACAGTTCACAGAAGAAAAAGAAAAAAAAAAAACAAAACCAAAAAACAGCTGGGCATCAGGCCTATAATCCTAGCTACTCAGGAGGCAGAGATCAGGAGGATCGTGGTTCAAAGCCAGCCCAGTCAAATGGTTCATGAGACCCTATCTTGAAAAAAACTGTTACAAAAATAGGGCTGGTGGAGTGGCTCAAGGCGAAGGCCCTGAGTTCAAGCCCCAATGCCACAAAAACAAAAAAACAAAACCGCTGAACTTAGCCTTGCATGTTGACAGAATGTTCAAAAGAAATCTGTGACATGACAGCTAGCATCACAGCCCAGGATGAGAACACAAGTTCTAAATGGCAGGAAAACTCTCACCTCCTTGATGCGCACGCCCTTCTCCCCTCTAGTGGCGTTCAGTAGGAGCTTCCTGAGCTGTTGGTCATTCAAAGCCTTTGGGAGATTATGCAGGCAGAGCCTAGTCTGGGAGACAAAGATATTCTGGTTCTTGAGTTTCTGATGCTTCAGTAGTTCAAACTGAGGAAACAAACAAACAAAAAATTATAAATTGTTAGCAGTACAGTACATACTTTAAAAAGACAGGTCTCTGTAATTCTAAAAAATGAAAAAACTATGATCCCTGTTGTGTAATCACACACACAGAAAAAGGAAATCACCATCTTTCTGCCTTATAATGCCCATGATAGGGAGAAGAAGGTTCAAGGAGACAAGATGGTGGTTAGGTAGTGGCAAGGTCATGGGTTCTGGAGTCAGATCTGAATTGGAAAGCCGTCCAACTGGAGAAATCACATGAAATTTTTAAAACTCAATTTTTCATCCACAAAAAAAAAAAAATGGAAATACAGAAAAACATAACATGACTCTCTCAGCACTGATGTGAAGTCAAATAAGATTATACACAAAAAACTCCTGGCTGATGAGTGGCTCAAGTGGTAAAAGCACCTGCCTGGCAAGCATGTGGCTGAGTTCAAACCAGCCACCGAAAAAAAAAAAAAAAAAAAACCAAAAACCTCCTACCTCATAGAGGGGCCCAGTGCAAATATTCTTATAAATAATACTGTAATTAACATCTATGCCCAGTCCCCATACCCACCAACGCAAACTTAAAATCCTATCTTCAAAAATAACCAGAGCAAAAACAGACGGAGATGTGGCTCAAACAGTGGAATACCTGCTTTCCAAGCCCTGAGTTCAAATCTCAGTCCCACCAGAAAAAAAAGAAATACTCTGGAAATGAATAAATATTAAAAGAACATGTAAAGCAGCTACCATGTCTAAGTTCAACAGACTATCTTTCTCCCAGGAAAAACTGTACCTGCTGTGAACTTAAAACACATAAATATAACCCAGTAAGCCTTTTGCTAGCAAAATTAGTTTCAAAATTCAGTATGTCATTATTGTACTGTGCTCAGAAAAAGGTATATAATGCTTTCTCAAATACCATGAAAATCAGATGTTCATGACCAAAAAAGGTCATGAACAGCACACTGCTTTTAGCTGTCATGAACTTTAGGCTAAGTCTGACGATGGTTATGCAACTTTACACTCTTTAAGCTGGCTTTTGTAAAGTAAGCTACATGGGCAAAAGTAAAAATTGCTGAGAACATTATCAAGCAGCAAAGAAACTTAATGGCATTTGTTAACAGTGAAAACTCCTAGAATATGGAGTATTCCAAAAGTGATTTTATAATCTCAAAATACCAATTCCTCCTACGTGACAGTTACTCCTTCCAAAACCTACTTCTCAACATGAGTTATATTGAGCTTCCTTTCTGATGTTCTTGTACATTTGTACTGACAATTATACCCAGCCCTGACCTCTCCTGTCTACTGCATGATCTAGCAGCATGCTAGACTGAGCAAATGCTTACCACTGTGTATTCAGGAAACAAATACAGACCCAGTTCTTATACTGGCACAGAATGTTGATAATACTATGAATAATGCTAGGTTATTTGTTATTTCACCTATGTGCTTCTTTTCTCTCTAACAAGACTAGAAGTAGGATATGTACCCTATATTTGGCTCTTCAGTTGAGTATTCCATTTAATTTAATTGTTTCTGATTTATCCATAAATTATGAAGGACTTACTAAAGGCTGGTGCCTGATCTACTCACCCGCTCTCGTTTGGCCATATCAGTAGCACTCACACCCTCAGCAGCCTTCGTCCCAGCACGGATCACTGAAGAAAAAGGGAAAAAGGCCAAGACATCATCAAGGGAATTTTCACTGAGCAACAGGAGGAATGTGATTTGAATGATGCAAACTCTTTGTACAGAGCCCAAAGGACTAAGTTGGCCAGGACACAGTGGCATTTGGTTAGGTCAAAAATAGGCTACAGGGCTAAGTTCTGGGCTTAGAGCATCTCTCAAGGACTAAAACTCTGAACATTTTGTGACTTTGCTTATCTCTCCCCTCAGAGAAGCTTCACATACATGCCCAAAGTTAGACAGAAATAGCTGGAAGAAGTTCTGAATTTCTGAATGAGCCTAACTTAGGCCTTTGGAATGCAAAGTATTCCTCCTATAACCTTCCCCTGAAGCTTAGCTGCTCCTCACGTACTTGGAAGCCATTGCTCAGTAAAATAAGATAAGCCAGTCTAGAGAACAGATCTATCACCAGGAGGCCCAGGATCAAAGGCTGATGGTCAAACATTACTAGTTGGGACCATGCAGCTGTAAAGGAAGTAGGCTGATAAATACTGTGATCTGGGAGGAGGCAAGGCTGAGGTTTAAACTCAGGGTTTTGTGCCTGCTAGGCAGGTGCTTTATCACTAAAACCACATTGTCAGCCCTTTTTGCCTTAGTTATTTTCCAAATAGGGTCTTATTTTTATGCCCAGGCCAGTCAGGACCAAAATCCTTCTATTTACGTTTCCCAAGAATGACAGGCACATACCACCACACCTAGCTTTTTATTGGCTGAAATGTGGTCTCACTAACTGTTTGCCTGGGCTGGTCTTGAACTACGATCCTCCTGATCTCTATCATCATCCCCACTCCCGCCCCATGTAGCTATGATTAGAGGCGTGAGCCACTGCACCCGGTCATTTTAAAATTGAGAGCTAATTTGATCACCTTTCTGACATTAAGGGAAAGGTAGTAGGTGCACATTTTAATCTAAGGGTAATTTTAGTCATAATTTTTAACTCCTTCAGAAAATCTCTTATTAGAAGTGTTGTCAGGAAGCCAAGATAATTTTGAGTTTTCCCTCTCTCTGTGCCTTGCTAATACTATAATGGAAAAGTCTGAAGGCAACTAGGCAAAAAAGAGAATGGGACTGGCTAATCCACGAAATGGGTGAAGGGTTCCTAACAGAAAGCCACAGCTACTAAAGTGGAATAACAATGTAACATTGTTAAGGAGGAAATTTGGGGGTTTTTATTGAAACATTCCCCCAAACATACAATTGCTAGATCACTGTCAGGGCATAGGCAAGCTACTGAGAAGTCTGGTTCACATTTCCTTCCATCACTCACAGCCTTCTCGTGCCAGATAGAGGTTCCGGGTTCCAGTTGGCTTCTTCACCTTCTTTGTCTGAAGCTTTGCAGCCTCATCACGGGTCACAGCTAAGTCAACCTTGAGCTGCCTGCCGTCCAGTTTAAGACCACCACCCTGTAACAGATTGCAACCTCTCTTCAAATACACAACAAACATAAACTAATACCTGACAAGGAACACCCAGAAAAGGAAATCAACACACTGCAATTATGCTATGGAAGCCACATGGCTTTGGTCCCAGGATGTTTTTGCCTAACTGGCTATGAATGGATTCCTGGCCTCACAATATTTAGTATAGCTATGCAGAAGGTCATGAGTGTATACAAGGCAATCAGCAATAAGGAATTTACTTTATGGTAGTTGATTAGTCCCAAACTGAAGAAAATGATCCATAAACAGGCAAATTTTTCATATTCTAAAGAAAGCTAATGAAATGGTAGTTAACTCTATACTCAAGAGAATTTAAGAGATAACTGCAATACCAGATAACATAGCTCAACAATGTACCATTGGCTATAGAAAACAGAAAAATTCTTTTTTTTTTTTTCTTTTTGGTGAGACTGGGGTTTGAACTCAGAGCTTCACACTTGTAAAAGCAGGCACTCATAAAGCAGGAGCTCTACCACTTGAGCCACACCTCCAGTCCAAAATTCTTTAATCATCCATATTTTTTCTCTCTTAAACATGTACCCTACTTCACAGATGGTCTTAATACTTTCTTATCCCAGTCTTTCATGTTATCAGTCTAGGATACAGACTGACACACAGACAGCAATCAATAAATAACAGAGACATAATTATACCTGTTTCTTCATCTAAGAAACAGGAATAACTCCAACTACCTCAAAGGGCTAATACAATGATTAAATAAGGTAATACATGTAAAGTTCAGTGCCTAACACTAAGTGCACAATCAGTGTTACCTTTATCATTACTACTACTAATAGTAATAACACTTTATGAAAACATCAAATTTTTCCCCTAGGAACTACAATCTCCTCCATGATAGAGGAAAAGAAATACCTTCCTTACCTCAGCCTCTGTAGAAGCAGCTGCAAGGCATTTCTGAGCTGCTTCTTGAGTCATGAATTGTGCAAATGCACAACCTGCACAAAGATACAAAAGTTGAGTGAGCTCCCAAACTCCCACTGGCCCACTAGTAAGCCACAGACAATATTACCAACAGCCACAGCCTGACACAGAATGGAAGGGGTAAAGTACTATGAGACAAGTACTATGTTAGGCAGTGAAGGGTCAAAGCCAATTAAGATAGCACACCTATTCTCAATGCAATTTTATCACTTCTTTCATCTTTTCTAATGTCTCTTAGAACACAGGTCTCATCAGCTCTTTCCTTAATAATATCCACATGAAATAGTACAGAAAATTCCAGCTGAACACTTAACTCAGCATAGCTTACTGAGTGCCTATTAGAAGACTAAAAGATGAGGCAGGAACTATTTAACCCTGAAATTAATTACATCTTACTGTCTCAGAGTCACTTGGGAAGCATCAGATAACAGATCTGTCTCCTGGGGTAAAAGAAGCTTCTATTATATGAATATTGTAGGAAACCAGAAAGCTATGAGCTCAATTTTTGGCTCGTACTCTACAATCTCCATAAGGCATGGCTTTCACTGGTAAGATGTAGGGCCAATCATCCTGAATGAATTTCTGTTATTGACAAAAACAGCTTTATAAGCCAAAAAAAAAAAAAAAAAAATTCACCTTACAATAGATTCCAAAACAGAAATAGAAGTTACCTATTTTGTTGGTATTCCTTTAAACTTTACATATTCTATCATATATCAAAACACTACCCTATCTCCTAGAGCTACTAGGGTACTATCTACTGCCCCTTACAGGAATGAATGCCAGCAGACTAACTGAAGAGACAGATGTGGCAGGCTAACTCAAAGGTCACCGTCTAGGGAGAGCTTCTCTGCCCTGCTCCAGACAGGGCCGAATGTTCCTACTTCTGTGTGCCCCTACTCCCATCCTCTACTCACATCTCTTATAGCACTAGTCAGGTGGCAACTTCCCAAACAGAATGAATGCTTCAGAATAAGGACCAACTACCACCATGTACAGCATTAACAGACACTCAATAGGAAGAGACAAATATAGCCCAACCTCTATATCCACAGGTTACACGTTGGTTAATTCAATCAGTCACAGGATAAAAGTAGTTGGGAAAAATAACTATCTATATTGAACATTTATGGACTTTTTCCTCCTCCTTGATAATACAGTTTAGTAGTTAATTACATTGTACTAGGCATGATAAGTAATCTACAGATGATTTAAAGTATAAGGGACTGGCAGAGTGGCTCAAGCGGTAGATTGTCTGCCTAGCAAGCATGAAACTCTGAGTTCAAATCCCAATACCACCAAAAATAAAAGTAAAGGGGAGGATGTGTGTAGGTTAAATGCAAATTCTGTATCATTTTATATAAAGGACTTGAGAATCCACAGATCTTGGAATCTGCCTCGGTGCTGGAACCAGACCCACATGGGTACTGCAGAGCAAGTGTAATATGGAAGGACAGGTTTCAGATAGGCAGATTAGGACCGGAAGCGTGGCTCAAGTCTAGAGTGCTTGCCTAGCAAGCTTGAGGCCTTGAGTTCAATCCCTAGTACAACGACCAAAAAAAAAAGACAGAGAGAGAGAGAGAACTCAAATAGACCAATTAGCCTGTCAGGAAGATAGATACCTTTCTTTTAATAAGAATTTTATCATTAGAATTTCCAGGGTCAGTACTAGGTTCAGCCCCACACTTTTCCAAAAGTCTCTGGATAATAAGTAAATCTTCTAGGTACTGAAATGGTGTGCTCAACAGGATAAACTGTAGGAGGAGGACAGTGCTGCATGAGTAAGCAAAAAAGTGTCAGAAAAATTTAGTATGAGTTAGGAAAAAACAATACATTAAGATAGAAAGGGGCTGGGTGCTGGTGGCTCACGCCTGTAATCCTAGCTAATCAGGAGACAGAGATCAGGAGGATCACATTTTGAAGCCAGCTGAGGCAAACAGTTTGTGAGACCCTATCTCAAAAAAGCCCATCACAAAAAAGGGCTGATGGAGTGGCTCAAGGTTTAGATCCTGAGTTCAAACCCCATTACAGCAAAAAAGAAAAAAAAGAAATGGGCTAGAGTATCTGCCTAGCAAGTGCAAAACCCTGAGTTCAAACCACAATACTGCCAAAATAAATAAATAAGACATCTACCAAATCAATTGTAGACTACATTCTGAGAATATCAACCCAATATATGACTGCACTCAAAAAAGGATAAAAGTTGCTGGACATCACCCAAGTAAAACAGTATCATACCTGTACTTGAAACATTCTAAGTAAAACTAGTTGTCTATTTTTAGAAAAATGTACTAGAGATGAAGAAGGTCCAAGAAGTATAACTGATTAGAGCTAAAACCCTTAAGTGATTACTCTAGTTGAACTCAATCATTTTATACATAAGAAACTTAAGTCTGTGGTGGTTAAATGACTTGCCAAAAGTCACTCAGCTGGTCTGTGGCATGGCTGGGATAGCTCCAGGGAACTGTTCAGTACTGCCTTATTTACATTTTTTTTTAAAGCTGGATAGAAATCAAAACTGATCGAGTTATCAATTTAGAAAATAAGAAGGTTCAGAATGGAGGGTGTGACCATGGACAATCTCTGGAGCACCCACAAACCCTCAGGAAGTGGCATTTTACTGGAGAGAAGGTTTATGGACTTCTCTAGATCTCGAAAGAATCCATGAAACAGAATGAAGACTCGATGTTTAGCAGAATGACTTCAGGCCATGAAGTTAGATTTCAATGGGTTGAAAAAATTCTTATTTACAGCAGTATACTAGAATGAGGACCAGTTAACCCTTGGAGCACAAAATAAATAGGTTTAGGGGAAAATACCTCAGGTAGCACTCCTACCAGTAGTTTTCCTTCTGATTGCTGCCATGCAACAAAGTTTGTCAGCTTTAATCTCTAACAAAAGCAATGAAGGGAAAAAAAAGAAAGATCCCCAGTAATTTCAAACAACATGTAATGATTAATACCTGTGAGATGTTACCACATCTGAAATTCAAAGAACAACAAATGGAATTCATTATCCTAATGTAAATAAGCAAGAGCTTAAAATTCTTAAGACAAATTTATGGCTGGCAGCACCACTAAAATGCTGAAGTTTGTCCTCATGGACTAAAACCTCAGAATGTTCTTGAGCTTCTGTGAAAGCCAGGGGGTTGGATGGACTGTGTACCCTTCAGAATGGCACAAAGTATGTTCACACGGAACCTAGCCAATGCTCATGATGATGATAGAAACCCTTCTAGGGCTTGACCAGCTGATCACAAATACCTTTAGAATGCTCTGTGTCTGGATGCAAGACAATGCGAACATAGTTAAGATCTCCAAAGTGCTGGAGGAGCTCCCCGAGTTCTTCTTCTTCTGAGTCAAATGACAGGTTTCTATGGAACACAACCAGGTCAAAAGAAAGGTCAGATACTAAGTGAGATCTTGCGTTCCAGAACAAGATACATGTAATTAGACCGGGGTGGTTCTCTTGTTCACAACCACCCTCCCTTGTTCAGAAATAGCACCAATATAACAGAGTGGCCCCCCTGGGGCAAAGCTTCTGGGATACAATTCTGTTCTTTGGTCCCAAATGACCTGACCCCCTCCCACCCTGTATCAAATTCTCTCACCAAGAAATTCGAACAATTTTTTTGAGGTACCATGATTTGAACTCAGAACCAATGCTTGCTAGGTAGTCACTCTACCACTTGAGGCATGCCCCTGGTCCAGAATTTTATACTTAAAAAAACATATACAAAGACAAGAAGTTGTAGATGCAGACTCACTTCAACATAGCAGTGCCCCAGCTGAGAGAGACTTCTGAAATGCTGGAGATACTGTACATTGTGACCTAAGTGATGGTTACATGAATACAGAAATATGAAAAATTTCACTGAGCTGTATATAGAACATATGTTGTATGTTATACATTAATACATACATACATTCATACATACATAAATAAGGTAGTATTCTCAGAGAAAAAACCTATACAGTTTCCAGCAACGAAAGTCCCAGAACTATTCATATTTTCATTCCCTTCTCAAGGTCTACCTTTTGACAATTTTGATTCTATGAGCCATCCCCGTGTTCATCCAAGAAACCCTCTCTTCACTTAACATGGTCAAAATTAGTTTCTTTTACTACAATCAGAAGACTCATACCAGGCTAGTGAGAAAAGTTCTGTCTCTCTTTCTTTCAACCTCCTCCCTCTCTCTGTAAATTAGACATTTTCTCCATTGTGTTGCTATGAAATCCAGATTTCAATTTAAATTTTACAAAAGTCAGGACTTGGGGCAAGGCTCAATTGATAGATAGAGTGACTGCCTAGCAAGCATGAGGCCCTGAGTTCAAACCCCAGTACTGCCAAAAAAAAAATTTATAGAAGTCAGAGAGTCTTTCAAAAGAGCACAAAAGTAAGCATGGTAAAATTTACTAGCTATGCACCAAAAAAAAGAAAAGAAAACTACATGCTGAGCACAAGCTTCCCTAATCTGAATATCCCAAGCTTTCTGAGCACTAACACAATGCTTGAAAGGTTCCAGATTCTGGAGCATTTTGGATTTCAGATTTTTGGATTAGAATGCTCAACCAGTGAAGTCCATGCAAATGTTCCAAAAACTAACACTTCTTGTCCCAAGAATTTCAAATAAGAGATTTTCAACCTGTACCTACTTCTTTTGATGGAATTCAAAATGTTGCAAAGAGATTTTTGTTCCCCTAAATTTTAATATAGAGTAAATATTCCTCATTTCTCCTGCTATTCACATCCTTCCATGGGTAAGAAAAATAATGTCTAATAAACAACTACAATTTTACTTTTCTTATGCTCAATAAATAACGCTACACCCTTTTCTGTGCTCATTTAAGGTTAACACAGAAAGGCAAAGGAAATCTCCATAAAACCCAGAGAAGAACTTGTAAAATTCTTTGGTGGATCCTATCTGGAGTAACAGCTGAACATGAGGAAAAAAAAACCTACAAATGATTTTATTTCATGAACTAACCCAGATTTTTTTTAAAAAAGGTTTTCTGCAATAAGTCTCTAGCCACATTATTTCTTCTAATTTGCCTCACCATGTACATCCATCCCTTTCCTCCCTACTTCCGTCCTTTATTTTCCAAAGTTCTTTATTAACTAAAAGACTGTAACGAATAGTAGCCTTTTACTTCCTGTTGGAAAAAACCTCTAAGAATATAAAATTAGGACCGGAGGTGTGGCTCAAGTGGTAAAGTACCTGCTTTGTAAGCATGAAGCCGAGTTCGAATCCCAGTACCAAAAAAAAAATTATTTATAAGGAAGTTCCAAGTAATATAGTAAAACCAAACAAACATACAACACAGAAAGACATGCCGTTAAGTGAGAAAACAGGCTATAGTAGTCTGTATAGACCAAACTCATCTTTGTAATATTTATGATGTGGCCATGAATGTGGGTATTCTCTGCATACTTTTGTTCATGTACTTCCTTAATGAACAGTCTGGATGAGAGGATGAACTATATACCTCTAAAAGGAGACCCAAATGACCCTAGTGTACTAGAACTTAGGAAAAGAGAACACATGTTTGAGGAAGAATGAGCATATCCTGACCTACGAAAATGCTAATTTATCACAGTTGGTAAGGCTGAAACAGCAACAGCAACAAGCAATAAAACCTATCTCCACCCCTATACCCCCCAGTTTTCCAGGAAACAAATGGTATTTCTTACTCTATTCTAAACACTGCTTTAAAGGAGAAGTTAAGCATGAAAAGAGAAACCATTTGGGACAAGTGCTGTCACCCAGCATCCCCCTAAACAAAAGCCAGAATCAAGGTATTTTTTAACAGCTTAAGACTTGATTTCTTCCAAAAGATGCCACCCAGTTACAAAGAATGAAATCTAAAAAGGACAAGGCATCAGGACCCCTGCTACTACTTATCTTCAGCTTTATAGTTCAGATTCTTCTACATTTCTCATTGTTTGGTAAGTTCCTGGGATCAGATGTGCTAACAGTCTCATGGCATCTAACTTCTGGGCTAGGTAACAGAAATAGAGCCAGAAGAGACACAAGACAGAAAGGGAGGGAGGGAAAGAGGAAGGAGGAAAAGGAGAGGAGAACAGAGAGAGAGAGAAAGAGGAAAGGAAGAGAGCAGAACAGAAAGGAGAAAGGGGAGAGGGAAAGAGGAAGGGAGAAGGGAAGAGATGATAACCATGAAGGCAATGCAAACAGCAGTTCTCAAGGCAGAAGGCATACCTGATAAAAACAGTTTTCCCTTCATTCACATCAGAGGGTATTTTTCTCTTCTTTTTCTTTGAGACTTGTACATCTAAGTAAAAAGAAAAATAAACTGAAAAAGACTCATGCAAGCTATATGACAAAGGGCTAACTTCTTACATATACAAAGATCTTGTATAAAGGAATTTTAAAATGTTTTAAATGGACAAAGGATATATAACTAAACATACAAAAAGATGATCAAACTCATAATTTAAAAAAACCATAGCATAGGGGCTAGTGGTGTAACTCAGTGGTAGACGGCATACTCAGCAAGGCCCTGAGTTCAATCCCAGCACTAAGGTAAAAAAAAAAAACAAAACAACAAAAAAAAAAAACCACACAAGAAACTAAAAAGATTGATAGAATCCAATGTGGAAAAGGCATTCTGAAATACACTGTGACAGTGCTGACTTCCTCGAAACATAAAACATAGAACTTTTGAGAAGGAAACACACACATACTATATTTTTGTGTGTGTGTGTGTGTGTGTGTGTGTATATATACGTGTTTTTGCTTATAAATGTGTTAAAATATTCTCTAAATATATAACATAATATTGGTTGTCTCTAGGGGCGTGCCCTAAGAGGCTGAGGATGTAGGTGTAAGGGAGACTCACTGCTTGAAGAATAAAAATTATGCTTGTATGTACACTGAAAACTTTTGGAAGATTACACAAGAAACAACAGTGGTTACCCTGAGAAACTGATGAGGAGGGGAGACAGGTGAGGAACTTTTACTTTCCTCATTAAATTCTTCTATACTGTATTTCTTTCTTCCCTCCCCTTCTATTCTGGATATAGGGTCTCATTTTGCCCAGGCTGGCCTGGACCATGATCCTTCTAGTTTACACTTCTGGCGTCACTGGGGTGACAGGTACACACTCCACGACTAGCTTTTTTCAGTCAAGATGGGTCTCACAGACTTTTTTTACCTGGACTGGCCCTAAAACTGCAATCTTCCCAATCTCCACCTCCTAGGTAGCATGGGATGACAGATGTGTACCACTGCATCCAACTATTGGTTAAGATGGGGTCTTTTTGCCAAGGCTGGCCTTGATCCTCCCAATCTCAACCTCCCAAATAGCTAGGTTTACAGGTGTGAGTCATTGAAACCAGTCTTGTACTGTATTAACTCAATTTTCTCTCATCATATATATCAGTTCTACAAGTTTTTTGGGTGAAAGAATGGTAAAAGGCAGATGAGCCTAGGTTGTGGAGTATAGGGTCTCTCTGTCTCTTCAGTGTAAAAGCTTTGATTCTAAGGTAACTATCATGCTATCCTCATAAGAAGAGTTTATTTCCTCCCCTTTCTGATATAGGCAAATTAAAACAAGACAGACTTACAGAAATAAAAGCAAAACAGATGAATAAAAATGTCCACACAAGACAAACCATAGAACTCCAGTTATTGGCCATTTCTCATTGTTAACAACCTGCCTTCCTGAGTAAACAAGTTTATTCTCAAGAAAGGTAGCAATAGGGATTGGTAGTAGTTTCACAAAGTTCTCCCAGAGGTCCTTACTATGAACTAAAATGTATCCAAACATTCATAGAACTGAAGCCCTAACTCCCAATGTGCCATATTCTGAAACAGAGACTTTGGGAAGATAATTAAAGTGAGATCAGAAGGGTGGAGCCCTAATCCGATAGGACTAGTGCCCTCATAAGACAAGGAAAAGAGACTAGAGTTCATTTATTTTATAGTGAAAATGATAGAGACGTTTATTAGGAAAGGAGTATACTTTCAATAGAATGAAAGTAGATTGTCTCTAAACTGAGAACAAGAATGACCCAGAGTTCGTTTTTCTGTATTTTCTCTCTCTCTCTCCCCTTCTCTGTCTCTCTCTCTCTTCTTGCTACAGCATGAAGGGAAAAGCTATGGAGGACACAGTGAGAGAGCAGTAGTTTGCAAGCCAGGAAGAGAGCCTCCACAGGGACTGAATCAGTTGGCACCTTTATCTGGGACTTCTAAACTCCAGAACTGTGAGAAAATAAATTTCTTGCTTTTAAGCCACTCAGTCTGTGGCATTTTGTCATGGCAGCCTGAGTTGACTATACAGTTCTTTATCTCCATCTCAACTCAAAAAAGTTATTTAAAATCCTATTTGGTGTCAATATGCAATACATCCTGTTTATTCAGTTGTTCAATCAACTTGGATGATCATGAGAAAAATGTAGTGCCTCAGCATTAAGCTAGGTCTTAAATCCCCTAAGAAAGGGTCTTAATCCTCAAACACTACTCTGAACTCATTTTGGGTATTTTTTTTGGGGGTGGGGGAGGGTGGGACTGGGGTCCAAACTCATTTTTAAAATAAAGTAAACAACAGAGCAAGCAAAAAGAAAAATTAAAAAAACAAAAAAACTTCAGAAGAAACATAATCATTCACTGGACTTAATCAGTGAATTTTGATAGAACTTAAGGTTCTACTTAAAAAGAAGCCTGGACAGAACTAATTTACACTTCCCAGTAACTTATTTAAAATGTAAAGGCATTTGTGAAGATCCAAGCAAACCTTCATCTTCTTGCTCTTCAGTGCCGCTGTCACTCTGCACTAGTCCCTCTCCACCATCAATGCTGCTACTTTCCTCCAGGTCACTATCATCGTCAGAATGGTCCTCCTCACTGCTTTCTGTGGGGGCCGCACTCTTGACAGCTCTGTAATGGCACAGTTCAGATCTAAGGATCTAGGCTAGCAAGGGGCGTATTAAACTTCATTACACATGTCAATTCTTCAGTGAAGGGGGCAGGAGAGACGAGTATTTTGCTCTTAGGGGAAACCCTTATCTTCCCCTAGTGTCTCCGAACAGGCTGAGCAGCTTACCTCTTCTGAATCTGCACATGCTTGGTCACCTTTGATTCTTTATTCTCCTCTTCCTCTTCATCATCGTCATCATCATCACCTTCACCATCTTCCTCTTCTTCCATTCCTTTGGAACTGCCATTCCTTTTCACTGATTGCTGATGTCTAGGTTCATGAATCTTCTCACCTATGGGAGAAGATCAAACAAAGTTAGGAATTCATTTACTCTCCCAAACACAGTTACTTTAACAGCACTACCTAATAGTACAATTTCTAGTTTGTTTGGTTTTTCAAAATTCCCTATTTCTTTTTTTTACTATACCATCAGCTCTCTGTATCCACCAGGTCCACATCCTTGGATTCAGCCAAGCATAGATCAAAAATATTTTTTTTAAATATTGCATCTGTACTGAATATTTACAGGCTTCTTCCCTTGTCACTGTTTCCTAAACGATTTAATACAACTATTTACATAGCATTATATTGTATTGGGTATTATAAGTAATCTAGAGATGATTTAAAATATATGGAAGGATTGCGTAAGTTCCTCCATGTTATATAAGGAATTATCTGAAGATTTTGGTATCTGGGGGATGCGGGGGGTCCTGGAACCACTTTCTCATACATACACCAGGAGATGATTGTATATAATTAGAGAAAATATGAGGGAAAAAAGAAAAAACTGAAACAAACAAAACCCTCGTCACCCACATTCCTCTCCAGTTTGTCCCATTCATCAGGTCAACCTGAAGGCTAACCTGCCCGGGAAGGAGAGAAGCAGTGACTAAGCTCTGCAAACAGCCCACCACATGTGCACCACAGCCAGAATAATGCTCAGTGCTCAGTCCGGGGCCCAGTCATGAACTTCAATCTTAGTGACTTACATTCTCTGAGACCCTGCTGGCTCAAAGGCCAACTGTTTTCTGGTTGAGAGTAAAACTCAGTGGTAGAGTACTTTCCTAGCATGCACAAAGCCCTGGGTTCAATCCCTACAACTGGACAGGAAATAAAAAAGGCTAATTGTTTTCTAAATAAAACTCAAATTTTTTCTAAATAAAACTCAAATTTTAGCCAGCCACCAGTGGTCCATGATTATAATCCTAGTTAATTAGGAAAATAAAATAAGGAAGATGTGGTTCAAGGCCAGCCCAGGAAAATAGTTCGAAAAGCCCCATCTCCAAAATAACCACAGCAAAATGAACTGGAGGTGTAGCTCAAGCAGTAGAGAACCTGTTTTGCCAGTGCCTGCTTTGCAAATACAAAGCCCTGGGTTCAAACCCTGGTCCCACCAAAAAAAAAAAAAAAAAAAAAAAAGTTTTTTCTGATCTTAATATTTCATCATACCCCTATGAAAAGCTGAGAAAAGAGAGCAAGTAGAGAGAACAATAAACTCAGGCCCCTTTCACCCATGCCTATATCCTAGGATTGGATTCAGGCTCAAAAGATTGTTCTGAGGATCTTTTCTGGTTTGGGGACCAGATCGCCAGATAATCAAATATTAATTGACACATAATGCCTGTCGCCCTCCTCCCCTTTTGGTGATACTGGGGCTTGAAGTCAGGGCCTCACACTTGCTTGGCAGGTACTCTACCACTTAAGCCATGCTCCCACCCTACTTTGCTTTATTTTTTGGGAAGGATCTCAGGTTTTTGCCTGGGGCCAGCCTCAGACTGTGATCCTTTTACCTACATCCTCCCATGTACCTGGGGTAACAGGCATGTGCCACCAAGCATAATTTATTGGTTGAGATGGGGTTTCACTAACTTTTTGCCTGGGCTGGCCTTGAACAGCAATCATCCTGATCTCTGCCTCTCAAGTAGCTGGGATGACAAATATGAGCACCTGTGCCCAGTCCCCTTGGTTCATTTCTATTCTAAGACCGTAGGAATTTATAGAGTTTTCCCTGAATGGTTTGTCTTGTCTTTTTGGCTACTCTTGTGATTTTGGTATTTCTAGTCCAATATTACCACCCACAAACAGGTTCTCTTACACTTTTAGCACAAATACAAGAGTTGTTTTCACCCTCTCACCAAGGACATACAACCCTCCTACTCAACACTACCACACCTTACCTGGGGCAGCAACAGACTGGGTATCTTTATATTTATCCTTTGCCACAGCCCAATCCACAGCCACGGTCCGCCCTGTGAAACAGAAAAGTAGCATCAGAAAGTCTTTCCTCCTTTCAACATCCCTACTTCCTATAAACAACTCCTACTCATCAAATATTGCAATGGAACCAGCAAAGACAAAGAAACGCAATTTCAGAGATTGCTGGTCCTTAAATAAAGCTCCCACTTGGGATGCAGAGGCAGGAGAATCACGAGTTGGGGGCCAATATGGGCAACAGAAAGAGACCCTGCTTCAAAACAAAAACAAAAAAGTTCACAGTAACTGACCATACTTTCTAATCCTTATCCATTTTAATAATTACCAGAAATTGTGCCTTTCTACATAGTCACCACACCTTAGATAAGATAAAATAAACAAAGGATTAGAACAGTGTTTCCAGTTACACTAGCAAGAAGCAAAACAAGCATTCTGGATTAATGGGTATCCTACTCAGAAGTCAGGAAGTCTCCAGACTAACCCCTATTTTAGCACAGTACCTGATAATACCAAGAGTAGCCATGGACCCTGAATAAGGTCACAAGAAGGAGGAACCTAGAAGCCAAGCTACATCTGCCAGTGATTATTTCCAGGACACTCATTAGGAATTTCAAAGGACACTCTTACCAAATAAAGGACAGAATCCTAGCACGAGTTCTTTCAAGTTTATCCCTAAGATCACGTACTAAAAATATTTCACTGAAACAGGGCTGGAGGCATGGCTCAAGTGGTATAGTGCCTGCCCAGCAAGCAAGAAGTCAGTCCTAAATTCAAACCCCAGTACTGCCAAAAGAAAAGATAAAAAAATTTTTTAAAAATCACCAAGAAACAGCTACTGTATTAAGCTATGAGTCTTTCCACAATATAAACAGCTTATGAACATACAGGAAAGTGGGTTACTGTGCTAATTCAACCAAATACTAGAAATACCTGGGTCACTGGGATGGGTGTAGAAAACTTACCTTTTATCTCTTTCATATTCATGCCTTTGAGAGCTTCCCTGCTCCTAGGAGGTTTTTGAACTGAACAAAAGCGAAACCACGCATCTTTCCATCTGTATACAAATGTAGAAAAGTTAAGAGGCAGCGGGGGAGCCAAAAGAATACTAAAGAAGGAAATTACAGAAATTCAAGCTGGTAAGGTAGCTCAAATCCTGCCAAGCAGCCAAGAGGTCACTCTCCCAAAGCAATGGTCTATGTCCCCTTGCTCAGTGAACCCTTACTCATGCTTGGAGAGAGCAATAAATCAATACCAACAATAACTAATCTTCTAAAACTAAGTCTGTTCTAACTAAGAATACCACCAAAAGAATAGCACTATCATTTGGATTTTCATTTCCAGTACTGTGCCAGACACTTCATAAATATCATCATAAATATCATCCAGGGCTCACAAAGAGAATGACATGACGCCTGTATTTCTAGTTCAATAATATGCAAGAAGACATGTTAAATAATCAATCTAAGCCACACCAAATAAAGGTGTACTAGTACCTGGCTTCCTTGGGATATTTACTTCTAAGACAGCTCCAAATTGAGCAAATATTGTTTTCAAGTCATCTTCTGAGCACTAAAGCCAAAAACGAAGAAAGAAAATGAGAAATATCACAGAAAATACACATAAAACATCGACTACTAAGTTCATTCAATAGGAAGGAGTTTGAAATTTTTTATTTCTTTTTTACTTTCAAGACTAGGACATTGAACAGTTGTGAATACAGACCAAAAAGACAGATAAGGGCTTTTTCTGTTCTCCCTTTCTCAGTAGCAGCTTCCCCAAAGGGAAGGAATTTCACACTTAGTTCACCATCAGTTCTTGCTCATACAGGCCCATTTTCTCAATTTAACTGGCTAAGGTTCACTCCCAGGAGGAATTAAGCCCAATGATACCATCTTTGTGAGGAGTCCCACCAATGAGCATGCCTTGGCTCCAATAGCCTTAAGAACATGCAGTTAGTCCTCTGTCACTTACCTTAAAGCTAAGGTTCCGAATAATTAACCTGGCTTTTTTATCTGCCGCTTTGGCTTTCTTCGGCTTCAGCTCCTTCTTTGGAGACTCTGAATTTTCTATGGAGACATGGAGTAAGTCTGTGCACTGACTTCTAGGTTACACATCACAAGGAAAAAGCTACTAGTAACAGATAGCATTTACCATAGGGTTAAGCATGTAATATCCAGCAACATCAGATTTTCCAGACTGAGATGGAAGCACAGGACTAAAATGAATACTAAAACACACCAGATGATTTTGGACACTGAAAAGAAACTTGAGGAGCTCTAAGTTCTAGAACACCCCCTTCCCTGTCACTCTGCCTTTTTCTCTCATTTTCAGAGTTCCTCCTCACCCTGGGAGAAAAATCTCTTCAATTACAAGAAATTCACCATTTTTTCTCTTTTCCTTGGACTTGTTCCTCAGTTTTTTCTTGGCAATGGTTACGTTGATCTTGCAACCTTCGAAGGTAGTGATCTCCTTGAGGGCCCTCTGAACATCTTCCAACATAGAGAAAGTGACATAGCCAAAGCCTCGACATGTCTTACTCCCTAGAACAAGAGGGAAAGGAATGGGATGAAAAGGACAGAGAATCATAAGCAAAGAGCACTGAACTTTTAAATCCTCAAACCTGCCAGGCATTGATGGCTCATGCCTATAATCCTAGCTACTCAGGAGTCAGAGATCAGGAGGATTGCAGTTCGAAGCCAGCTAGGGGAAAGAGTTTGAGAGACCCATTACAAAAATAGGGCTGGTGGAGTGGCTCAAGGTGAAGGCTCTGAGTTCAAATCTCAGTACCACAAAAAAAAAAATCCTCAAACCTAAGCTAGCAGATATCCCACCAAACTGTACTGTGATCAATTTACATAATGTTTCAGGGAGAAAAGAAACAAGGCTGACATCAGTGGCCCCCTTCCCACTTTGCTCAGAAACTGTTGGGCTTCCTCCTCCTAATTTGGTATCTTCCTATCAGTTCTTCTTCTTCCTCCTGCCCTGATATGGGGGATTCATGATATACACTAGGCTTCCAAAGAACTCAATACCAAATAGAACGGAAGGCTACCAGGGAAGGTAGAAAAGGCAAATATGATTAACTTTGAAAATCAAAATAATGCAGTCTCTCCTTAAAACCTATCAGCAATAAATGCCTGAGGCCCTGACAAAAGAACCTCAAATAATAAACATTGCTTCAGGAACCTGCAGATCTTAGTAGCATTATTACATGCCTCAGCTATTCACTATCAAATTAAAACTTTACAAAGCTGCTGTAAATCTCTGGCCTCATTTTATCTTTGGTACATTCCAAGGTAGATAAAATGAATAGTATAATCCCTTCTTTCCAAAGAATAACTTAGGATAAAGGAAAGTAGATGAATGTCATACAGGGTTTTAGTAGCTGAATTAATTCCTTCTTACCAGCCCCATGTTTTTCCATGGGACTCCACAGAAGAACATGACGATCAAGGATATAGATAAATACAAATATTACCGGAACCCACCTTGGTCTTTTTAGTATGCTTTTTTTGGTTTCGCATATTTTGATAGTAAAATTTTAAGTAATTTATTGCATGATAAAGGAACAAGACAGATCAAGAAATCTGTCTACTAACTGCAGAAGCAACAGAGCTCTGCTTTTCTTTCAAATACACTTGAAAGAGAAGTGCATGTAATGTAACACAAGATGCTAATCCACAAAAACTGGTCACTTGGCACCAGGATGGCATATTGTGACATGGAGATTGATTTCTTTTCTCCTGGAACGCTTTCTCACAAAAGCTTGCCCACTCACCTTTCAGAAAATAAGAACAAGAAAAATCAGGGCCCTTCTTGATCAGTACAACCAAAACTAAAGCAGCTCAAACGTGAAGGAGTTCAGTGCCAAAATAAAATCACATACTTACAACAACTCTGTGAAAGTATCCTATCTTAAAGAAACTAACTGGCATGCCACTACTTTTGGGAAAAACTTCATCCTATACCTCACCCACTCCTTCTAATACATCTCAGCTGTCTGGAAAGGAAAGTGCTTATTAAAAAAAAAAAAAAAAAGGGGGGGGAGTAAGAGATACTGTTAAAGATTTACACCATGTACACAAGGTTTAAGGTGAGGTTACACGAAATCTATTCTAAGGACTCAAAGGACAATTTCCATTCACTGGCCTATTTTTCCTGAACACAACTGCCTGGCCCTAAAGAGCAGCTGTTTCTCAAATTATTTGACAATCCACAGTAAGGAATGCAACATACATCAGAACCCTGTACACACACATATTCTTTATATAAAACTGAAATGAGGCTGGGTGTGGTGGTGCATACCTTCTCAACACTCAGGAGGCTGAGGCTGGAGGACCACAAGTTCAGGGTCAGCCTGGGTTACATAGCAAGACTCTGTCTCAAAAATAAATAAATAAAAGGCTTGCAAATACTCATCCTTTACTATGGATGTTCTTTTATTCTATTTTGTTTTCTAAAAATTTTAGCCACAACCCACTCAAGACCCAGTAATGGGTAATAATCTTCAGCTTAAGAAACATTAATATATAGAACTCTTGTTCTCTCACTCGCTAATGTCTACACTTAGGACAACCAGGCAGATGCCATGGCTTATACAGCAACCAGAGCCATGTTGACAAACCTAACAATAACTTCTGTTACCAAAAAATAAAGCTAAAGATGGAGTGATTAATTAGCACACATCAGGCTGCCTACTCGTATATTCAGATACCATGGAGGGTAAGGGGGAGTCTAAAGATGCCAGTTCTCACCAGTTGTTCTCTTGAAATACAAAGAAGCAGCCACCTACAGAGATAGCCTGGTGACTTACATGGGAGCTAAAACTATGTTCTGGGTAACATCAGGTGCCTATCTGGGTGCCCCATGAGTCTTTTAAGAAGAAGGAATATTTCTACAACTAAAGCCATTACAATTCTTTCTCACTCTAATACATGCCAACCCTCCATACTAGATGATGTGATGCATATCGAACAGAATGTAAAGTGTATAGCAGTATTCCAAAAAAAAAAAAAGAAAGAAAAGCTATGGAGTAAGACTGGACTCCTTCACTCCTTTTATTCATATTCCATATCTGCTGGATCGGCAAATCCTCTCAGCTTTACGTTAAAAACTGTCCATATTCAAACCACCTTTTCCGACCTCCACTGCTAACATCCTGGTCCAACACCACGAACTCTCAGATTATTGCAAGCCTACTAAATGGTCCCCTAGTCTCCAATAGTCCTATTAGTAGTACCTCAGGTAGAGAATCTTTCAAAATGTAAAGCAGATCATGCTTACTGCTCTCTGCTTATAATCAGTGGCTTTCAAGAGCAGAGTAAAAGCCAAAGTCCTTGCAACAGCCTGCAAGGTCCTACCTGACTTAGTACTGGATCTCATCTCCTAATTCTCTTTCCTTCACTCACTTCCCTCCAGTCACCCCAGCCTGCCTGCTACTCTTCCCATACAGCAAGCACACCCCTACTTTAGTAGCCATGAGCTTACTGTTTTCTCCATTTGGATTGCTCTTCCCCCTGAAAGACATAAAAGTTTACTCTCTCATCTCAGTCAAGTCCTCCCTGGCCAACCTAGCTATATCGACACTCCTCAAATACACATTACACAGACTCCTGATCCGGGACGTCTGACTTACGTTTCAAATCCCTGGCATTATCACCATTACCACTATATTGTTGGCCTATTTGTTTACTGGTTGTCTTCCCCACCATGACATAAAAGCAAGGATTTCTGGTGTACTGTTGTGCACTGCTACACCCCAAAGACCTACAACAGTGCCCTGGAACATAATAAGCATTCACTAAGTATTTGTTCAATAAATGAGACAAATGAACAGCATATTGACTAAGAGTTCCAAGTCTGATAATTAAACTGTGGACCCATTCTTACTTATCTACTAAGTTTCCTTAAATCCTAGATTCCTAAATCCTGTACAACAGGATTTAGACGCTCCATCCAGTAAAACTGTTGAGAAAATTAAGTGCGATAACCTGTAGTAAACTCAGGACCGTGCTGACTCTCAACAAGCCTTACCGATACTTTACCAAAAGTCAGCTATTTTTATCATTACTAAATAAGATCGTATCTGTGAACGCGAATAATAAAGGGAAAGCACTATCGAAACGTACCGGGATGCTTTGCCTTCCACAAACTCACCCTATGGGCCATCTCAAGCACAGTCAGTTTAGAAAAGAAACTCAATTTCAGCGCCTTCTCTTAGGAACAGGCAAAGAATTATACAGCTCCTAAAGTCTGGGGAAGTGCACAAGCCCCATCCCGCCCGCAGGAACCTCCAGCCCCTCTCCTCCACCCGCCCGTCCCTACCTTTCTCAGTCACCACGAAGCACTGCTTCACCGGCCCCACCTCACTAAACAGCTCTTCCAGCTGCTCACTGCGGGCCGAGGGCGGGAGGCGGCCCACAAACAGAGTCAGGCCGGCCATGAGGCCGGGAAACCGAGGCACGCGTGGAACCGAAGCAACCAGGCCAGCGCACGCGAGTCGAGCAGCACAACCAAGCCAAAACTACCGGGCGGCTCCGGAAGTGCTCGTTCTCAAAAGAGTCCGTAGGAAAACATGGTGGGAAGGGAAAGAAACGTTCCGGAATGGAAAATAATGACGTCCCGGGGGCGTGGCTTCTTGAGAACGGCTCCACCCCCTGTCTCAGCACCGCCCTCGTCACTGTAAGGAAAACTTGAAACTCTCCCCGCCTTCTCATCTCATGTCTTTTTTCTCTCTTTTCTTCTTCTTCTTCTTCTTCTTCTTCTTCTTTCTTCTTCTTCTTCTTCTTCTTCTTCTTCTTCTTCTTCTTCTTCTTCTTCTTTTCTTCTTCTTCCTCCTCCTCCTCCTTCTCTTCCTCCTCCTCTTCCTCCCCTCCTCCTCCCCCTCCTCCTCCTCCTTCTTCTTTCCTATAACAGGTATACACCACTACACCCAGCCCCAATTTACTTTCTATTGGGATAAGCAGAAGTTATTTTTGTCTTAGGCCTTACCCTGGATCTGTCATATAACAGATGTTCAATAAATATTTTCTGAAGTGTCTCCACAGATTCCCAGATTACATGCAGAAACCGCAGTCAGAATGTCCTGTCATGGGCCTAAGTATGTAACATACATTATTTGGGAAATTCTCATACCCTCAGAGAATGAGACAAATGTCACCTTGGACTCGATGACAAATTACAGCTTCTAAAGTAAGCATAGACACAGATGATACACAACTATTGTGTCAATAAACATTTTCTGAGTTTCTACTGTGTATCAGGCATTAGGAATTTAAAAAAAAGAAAAAACAGGGTCCATGCTCTCATATTAGAATACAGTCTGGTGATGAAGACAGACATTATAAAAAAAAAAAAAATCTTACAAATAGGGCTGGGCATGTGGCTCAAGCAGTAGAGCACTTGCCTAGCTGCAAAGCCCTGAGTTCAAATTCCGACATCACCAAAAAACAACAAAAATCTTACAAATATATCACAGCACACACTTCTATGATCACATGAGAATGTACCCAAAGCAAACATAACACCAACCTATACACACAGACCTAGAACCCAGATCCACCCAAAGACAGATGTTCCCTCAGGTTTGCTTATCAGACAGACCCAAGGCTTAGAGGTCTCACTGGCCAGGGGACGATCTAGGTGCTCCTGAGTCCTGGCACAGTGTTTGCCATCCCCTGGGCTCAGGAACTGATGTATATGCAAGGCTGTTCACAGAGTACCTGGGTACAAAAAGTACCTAAGGCACTTTTTAAGTCATTGCTTTTAAACAATAGCGGCATGGTAGATAGGAAATGCAAAAGGATAAAAGGTACACTGTAAAGTGAGGTTCCCTTTCTCCTCAAGACCCATCTACTTTCAGTACATTTGTAGACTAATGAGTAGCTATGGGGAAGAAGGAGAATGTAAAAGAATCAGATTTATGAAGCCCTAGCTAACTCTAAGTAATATGTACTTGAAAAAAAAAAAAACCCACAGCTATTTTTAAACACATAATTCAGGAGAAAAGGCATTGAAATACAAAACAGATTGTGAAAGCTCCTAGGTTAATCCTATCCTAGATAAAGAGAGTTGAATAGACAAAGGAAATGAACTGGATCATCTAAACAAAGTTGGTTTGGAATTCCACATTCCTCCCTCTTCTTTCTCCTTCTCCCCCTGGCCTTTTCACCGCCATCTTAGGAGTCAAAATTCCATCCCCAAAGACATAATTGTAAACTTCAGGGCCCCAGCTGTGGAGACCCTTCCCAGTTTGACTATAGTATGCACAGAGACGAGAACCTGAGAAAGTTGTTCTAATATGCATCTGGAACACTCCCTACAAATGCTGTTCTAAACACTCTGGATGCAAATTTTCCTTAAAGGACAAAAACCAAACTATATCCCTATGCCCATCAGGGGGCAGCAGCTACTTGCAATGCAGGAATCCGTGCCCCTCAGGAGGATCACTGACCCTTTCTACCCTCCCTTAGTTCAGACTTAGATCCCCATCTGTTTCCATCCCCATGCCTCCCCCTATCCATTCACATCAGGAAAAGCACATGGCTCTTCAGTCAGGATTATTTGCTCATCCATCTACCGAGGACACATGCAGTGTTCTTTATTAAATAGCAAGAGTCATGGAACCTGCAATGTGGCTTCCAGGGGAAATAAATGCCAGCCTGCCCCCTCATCCATCACTGTGCAGGAGCCTGGAAAGGAAGTAAGAGAGGCCTAGGATGTTCTAGTCAGCCTCTCCAGGCCCCATCCCTCTGGCTCCACTACTCCTTGCAAGCTAAACCTTTTATAACACTGAATTGTTCTTATTCTTCCAATTCTCACAATTCTAATTAATTACTTGTGCTTTTGTGATCATTTCTATGGTTCATTGTTTAATGTTTGCCTTTCCCCCCAGAGAACTGCAACTTCATAAATTCAGAGCTGGTGTCCTTCTTGTTCACCTCTCTAGCCCCAGCACTTAGCACATTGTAAAGATTCAATAATTTTTAGGGAAATGAATGAATGGATGTAGATGAGTTTGTCTCTCAGCCAGGCCCCACAGTACCAAGATTTAGAACTGCAGAATGGATGCATCAGGATCTACATAGATTCCTGAAAAACTTGCTTTGGGCAAGGAAAGAGACACAGACAAAAAGGAAGGACTAAGCAAAGTGTTGGCCTCTTTATGAAGTCAAAGGACTGAGGTAATTCTTACTGAGGAAAACCAACAAAGCATGGGACTGATAAGCATGAAGCAATACTTCCTCACACCTTCCTCCTCACCTGCCCTATTCAGAAATTCCAGACAGAAAAGAACTGTATGTGTATGAGAGAGAGAGATAGACTGACTATGGGATGGGTACTTGGGGCTTAGAGTTCACTGTTGGGAGGGTATGTGTGCATGAACTCAAGGGACTTGATGGGAGTGAGTGAGAGAGAAAAAGAGCAGCTGGCCAGGACTAGAGTGAGGAAAAGGTGACAGAGAGATGCTGGGTGTGAGCAGAGGCAGATGAGAGGCAGATGGAAGGGAAAGTGAGGAAGAAGGGAAGCAATTTCTCAGATCAGTAAGCACCCCTTGCATGACACAACGCAGTGCCAATGCTGGGCTTGCTACAGCCACTACGACACCAGTGAGAAATGCCTGTAATTAGGACGCTGGCAGTTCTCTGGGCCCCAGCCCAGAGTGACGATGCAGCAAGAATTTCTGAGCCATGCTGAGCCAGGTAATGGAGGAGACACAGACAAAACCATTCCAGGCCCATCCTTCAGCTTCACTTGAACCACCACCTCCCATTTCTTTCCCCACTAGGACTCTCTCCCAGACATCCCTGGTCCCCTCCTTCCTCTGAGGGCTAAGGCCCTCGAATCTCCTTTTAGCCAAGACAGAGCACCATCTGCAAAGAGAACAGCACTTGAATTCTCCCACTAGTGCATTGGACCTGGTCTGGCCAGTGGCCCGGCCCCCCTTGGCCTTCCTGCCTGCTTCCCTCTTGGCTCCTAGCCTCCCTTCTCTAATCCCCACCAGCTGATGGTCAGAGTTGGAAGACATAGCACTTGGGTTCCTGTTTTTCCACTTTGAGCTTCATATGTGTGTGTCTGCAGTTCTTCCTGTGATGTGCAGGACATTTGCCAAAACACTGTCAGATTTTCACTTTCAGACCTAATCCAAGATCCTGCTTTTGTGCCACTCTGAACAACTGCATTGTAGCCAAATGATAAATGCACAGTATATAGAACTCCAAGCAAAATGCTCTAGGCAAGAAGGGATACGGAATGGCTGGTAGCCAGATATGATCCTGGTTGTCTGCATTGTGAGCTCTGCTTTGGGTGCTAGGCTGGGGCTGGGGCTGGGACTGGGGAATGAGGGTAGACATTGGAAACAGACTTTCCCCAGAGGGAATCTGCACCCTCAGGAAATGATAGTTTTGCAGGGGAAGGGGCTGGGGTGGTTGGAGCCCAACATGAAGAGGTTCTGTTGGTAAGTGAAGATAGGCAGTTTCCTCTTTGAAAATCCCAAACTATGGGAATGTGGCAGGAGGAATGCTGGAGAATATGACTTGAGGCAATCAGGCCTTTTTAGTGCGCATTTGCATTGTCACGAAAAACTTTATCACTTAGTCCCTAGCCAGTTGTCTATAGGACCTAAAGCCAGGCTTCTAGGAAAGAAGCATTTCCACCAAAGACTGAAGATTTTCTGCCCCACCTCTCAGGACTGTGTTCCATCCCTATGAAAAGCTACTTCCCAGAGAGTCAGACAGGTCTTCCAGGAACCTCATTCATCCCAGCCACAGGACAAGACTTCTTGGGATTGTGGGAAGGACCCTGGGGTCTGAGGCAAACCCATTCCACTTCCACTTCTGGTGGAGGCACTGTTTTTGTGGCCCTATTTAAGCTTTTCTGAGATCAGAACGTTCTCCTCTGAAAATATTTTATTGATATATTAACTCTGAAAGCATTCATTTCCCACCCAACTGCTGTAAGGACTTTTGGATGGGGCATGGACCCTTCCGTGGGAAAGGCCCCTGTAGAGGACAGGGAGTCTCACTCACCACAGGATTGGAATTCCTGGGCATGGTAGAAGTGGGTATAGGGCTGAGGCAGGGCCCCAGATCTTCTGAAGACAGCCCCTCTCACTCAGCACCAGAGTGGGGAGTGGTGGTCAAGAGTGCAGCACCTTGGAGCTTTATTGCTGGGGAAGGCCAAGGAAAGTGGGGTCCTGCCGGCCTAAAATTGCAGCTGAGGGCATCAGAGCCCAGGGCTCCAGAGAAGGTGGCACTGATTCCCAATCAACAGAACCTGGCTGCTGACTCGCCCACCCAGGGGCACCTGGACGGGGGAAGTGGGGAGAGGTATCTGAACCAGGCAGGATTGGGAAAGGGTTACAGTGTGCAGGTCTTGGACAGAGCAGGCGCCAGAAAGGGGCGAATGGTGGGCAGCAAGATGGAGGCCTCTTCACAGGTCTATGGTATCGCTGCCCGTGCTCAGCTCGTCAATCTGTCGGCAGGCATCCAGAAATTGCTCCTGCAGCAAGGCCTCCTCGGTCTGCAGCTCAGGAGCAGGCTCTGGGGAGTCGCGGGAGGGTGGGGACAGGGCCTGGTAGGATCCTGAGGCAGGGAGGCTGGGACTGCTTCCTGAGGGCCGCGGGGGACTGAGGACGCAGACCAGTGGACAGCGCGGGGGCCTGTCGGGACTGGAACATAGCAGCATGGACGAGCTGTCCCGTGAGAGTCCGCACAGGGAACCTGATGAAGCGCTGCTGCCCGCGGGCCAGGCCCCGGGAGAGGGGAGCTCTGGGGGCGCTGGGGATCCTGGGGACTCCTCCGATCTCTCATCGGGCCCGATCTCTGGCTTGGTTTCCAGCGAGATGGTGCGGTAGAGGCTGAGCCCAGGCAGGGCTTCCCCAAAGGCGGGGCCCTGGAAGAGCCCGGGCGCCAGCAGCGCCTCGCTGCAGAGGGCCTCCTCGATGCTGCGCCGCAGGTTGATCGGAGACGGCGGGCGAAAGTCCACGGTGCAATCGCTGCAAGGGGAGGAGGCAGGGGATGCGGTAGGTTTGGCAGACGCGCCTTCGAAGCCCAGGCAGCCACCGCCCTGGAGTAGGAGATCGGGGCCTGGCCCTGCTAGAGCACACAGCTGCAGCAGCTCCGCGTCGCCACGCGCGATGGCGCTACCCAGGGGCTCCTTTTCCGGGGGTCCAGTGACCCAGCCTCCCGGCAGCAGCGGGGCCGCATGGCCCGGGGACAAGCGGAAGAGCTTGGCCCAGCAGCGCGGCGGCACGCGGGGACTGCAGAGCGCAGGGTAGAGGCCCAGAAGGGCCAATGGGAGCGCGACGCCCACCTCTCCCAGGCGTAGGCCTAGCTGGAAGGCCCACCACGGCCAGGGCCCCTCCAGGCCAGGTTGGCCGCCGTAGCCCAGGGCCAGCAGCACCTCGTAGCCCTGTAGGGCTCCGCTCAGCAGCCCAAAGGTGCCGGCCACCGGGGCAGTGCGCGCTGCACGCCGCCAGGACTCCCGCGGGGCGAAAGGGCTGCGAGCCTGCGGCACAGGGGTGGCACCCTTGAAGCCAGACCCTCCCAGGGGCGCTCCGGCCCGCCGCCGCCGACCCCCCCAGCAGGAAAGCGCCAGCAGAAGCCCGGACAGGAGCGTGGCGAGGAAGGCATGGAGACCGCGCGAGGCGAGCCGTAGGGGCCGCAGCGGGCGGTGGGCAGCGCTCCCCAGGGCGGCGGCGGCAGCCAGCCCCAGCCCCAGGAGCAGCAACGCTGCCAGGCCGGCGGGGCACCGCGGTGGGCGCGGCCGGGCCAGCAACAGGCAGGCCAGTCCCAGGCCAGCGGCCAGGCAGGGCAGCGGAAGGTCCTGCAGGAGCAGCCAGGCGAGTGCAGGCAACCGATCGCGGTGTCCATAGGCGTCGTAGAAGAGCGGAAAGGCTCGCGTGGCCCCAGCCGAGAGCAGCAGCAGGTCCAGAAGCGCCAGGCAGGGGGCGCCGGGTGGGCAGCGCCAAGGCAAGAGGGCCAGAGCCAGCAGGGCCAGCAGGGCCACCAGACCGAAGAGGGCGCCTGCGCCATACACGTGAGCCTCCCAGGCCAGCCCCCATCGAGCCCTGGCCTCTGCCCAGTCGGCCTCCAGGGTCAAGAAGAAAAGGGGCAGTGGGGAGGCAGGAGGCTGCCCCTCGCGGTCGGGCATCCCTCCCTTGTTGCAGGGCTCTGGCTCACATTCGGGCTGTGCTGAAGGGTTTCCAAGGCTGTCAAGAGAGGGCTCATCTGGACCAGAGGTGGGGATGGTGGAGTCTGTGGGCAAAGAACATTTGTATGAGGCAATGGTACAGCCCCATCCCCACCCCCACCCCCAGCCCTCAGCCAGTAACCTGAAAGACAGTCCGAGTATCCATCAAAACATCTAGGAGACTCACAGTCCTTTTGACCTCTTATCTTCCCCTCCCCCATTCCAACCCCTCAGTTCTCATCTTTCTCCTCTCCCAGTCCTTTGTTCATTTCCCTCCATTACTTTGTGTTCTACTGAAAAAAGGGGTGGGGGGGGTTCTTTCACAAGTCCAGAACTTCAGGACAGAAAGAATGTGAATGCCCCCTCCAGTCCAATCCCCACACCAGAAAGGAAGTTTGTGAGAACAAGATTTTTGTTCCCTTTGCTCATATCTGAATCTCCATTCCTAAGTGCTGGCACTGAGCAGATATTCATTGAATATCTTCTTCTTATTTGCTAGATGAATATACTGAGGCTCTGCAGAGAGGTAAAGTGACCTGTCCAAGGTCACAAATTGGCAGAATGCAACTAGAATCCAGATCTGAGCCTCTTTCTACTCCAATCCTCTTCATAACACTAGTTTGCTTGTCTCTTGTCCTACACCCCTGACTCTTAACTCCCATCTTGGTGCTAGGTGATGTTTCTCCTGTTCTTTTTCAATGGCTCAAGAAATGCACATGCACAAGTATACAGACACACAGAGAAAGGGAAGAGGTAAAACTCTCTCCTGTACCCAGCACTCTAAGGTGAACACTATCATTCACTGCCTTCCTTCAGCTACATCTCAATTCTCAGCTGACCTGTGACTGTGGCCCTTATCCTGACTCACCCACATATCCATTGTTCTAAGGGTCTTGACGCAGATACCCCTTTGGTTTTCTGCCAAAACCAAAGAGAAGGTGATATTGAGATTAACTATTCTGGGTCTCACAGGGTATCCTTGAACTCTCAGAAAGGAACAATTGGGGAGATCATAGTAAGATAAGATACCACCTGAGTAAGTGAGCCCCTCAGGAGCTCTGGGGTTTGTTAACTCAGTCCCCAGCCCCATCCTGTACTCCAACATCTTCCCACATCCCTTGGGGAACAGGGCAGTCAACTAAGAGAAGGGAGGAGTAAGACCACTGGTTCTGCTCTCCTGGAGCAAGAACAGAACTTGAAAGAGTTAGATTCAGGGATTTTCCCCAAGATAAGGCAGCAGGAATATGCTGGAATCTGACTTCTCCCTACTCCCATCCACAGACTCATCAGGACTGCAGCTGTAGGCCAAGACAGAGGAAGAAAATGTGGTGATGAAGGACAGGGACAGCCTGGTGGGGGTAGGGAGGACAGGAGACAGGTGTAAATGAGGAGGGAGGGTCTTCTGATGATCACACTGCCCTAACTGCTGGCCGGGCCCCAGTTGGACAACACAGGAAGACCAGGGAGTACCATCACCCCTAGGCAGTGCCAGCACTTGCTGGGGCCAGACAAAACCCAGCAGCTCTAAGTAGCATGCTTTTAAAAAATGTTTATCTTTTGGCAGTATTAGGGTTTGAACTCAGGGCTTTGCGCTTGCTAGGCAGGCACGCTACCACTTGAGCCACCTCTCCAGCCCTTTTTGCTCTCCCAGCAGCTCTGAGAACAAGGAAAAAAAATTGAGGGGGCCAGAAAACAGCTCTGGAGAGAAGGGAGGGGAAGATGAACTTAGGTAACTAGGGAGGGCAAAGAGGAAGCAGCCAGAAAATTAAACATACACAGCCCTCTGCCAACTGCAAATGGTAGCATGTGTGTCCTGCCTCTCATTCCATCACATTCCTCAAATCTGAACTGAGGAAGACTGCCTACTGCAGATGACAGTTATGAGGATAATAGAGTGCCCAGGTGTGAAAAAATCATTCCGTATATAGTGGTGTCTGGCATGATTTTTGTCAGCTAACATTCATCACTGATTGAGTTTGGGTGTGCATGAGTATGACCACTTCTGGCCTCATACTAGTTCTTGGTTTAACTAACTGAAAGCTGTAGTCTGGGTTAAAAGCCCTTCGCACATAGTAGACTTGCTTAGAAAGACAACAATCACTCAAATGAGTGAACATCCTCATACTGACTTAGTTTTATGACCTCTGAAGACCACCATGTTGATAGTGTAACCACCCCTCAACACTCATAAAGTCAGCAACCATCAGTTAAATGAGAAGCCATTCAACTGGCAACAGATAATGTGCTGATGGGGGTGAAAGGAATTAGCCTGGCATTGGCAGAATTAAATAAATACACTCTAACTTCTCATTTTCTGCTCCCCTCTGATGCCATAGCCTCACCCACTGCAAGGTTAGTTTGGTCTTTCTTTGGCCTTTGTGAGCTCTGAAGAGAGGTAGGGAGGTCCTGACCAGGAGCCCACAGTGTGCCCTAGCCTGTCATTCCTCATTCCCTCCTCTCTACTCACTGTATAGATAAGTGCAATGATCAGAGGGCAGTGCCCTGCCCTCCTCCGTCCTCACCTCTTACCTGTGGGCTATAGGAACCCCCATCTCTCATCTCCATCTCCAAACACTATAGCAACTAGAGCAAATTTCAACCTTCACAAGAATCCAGAATAGGAATAAAGCCAGGAAATAAGCAGGAGATGTGATTTCTAAAGTAGGAAGACTGCTTTCAGGGGTCAGACCATGCCTGGTTTACCCCAATGAGCCAAGTGTGGGTGGAGACAGGTGGGAGAAAGCAGAGCTTCTGCCATTGAAGGATTCATTTGACCTCACCTCCCATGTCCCCAGTTGCAACTTCCTTCCCCAGAAACAGTTTTGAGTTCTCCCCAGAAGATAGTGGGTTTCTGGTCCTGCCTTCCCAGGATCCCCCTCCTAGGCAGGCCATCCCTCCAGGGAGGTCCCACTCTGGCCCTGTGACCCTGCTTGACCTCAGGGGTGAGGGAGGAGATGGAATGTCAATGTGAGTAACTGGTGAAGCAGGAGCTGGCTGGGAGGGGGAGGGACCAGTTTGTTCATGGAAAAGCCAGACCTGATTATCCAACAGCTGCCCAGATCAAAGGGCTGGGGAATCGCATTTCCACTCTGGATGCTAGACCCATCCATCTCCCCACCCCCACCTCCAGGATTGTGGAGGACTGATATTCTTTGTAGCAGAAACACTCAAAATACTTAACAACTGGATGGCCCAGGTGCTGGGCAATCAGAACTGAGCCTGCCAAGGTGGTCAGGGAGTAAAGGAAAGCCACAGGTGACTGAGTAGAAGTGGGTACTAAAGTCCTTTGATTTGTTATGGCCCACTACAAGTGTTAGGGTATGGATGGGCTAAATACCAGCTCTGTCCAAGGGAAAGATGACTAAATTCAAGGAAGCCTTAGGAGTCCAAGGTGAAAGCACGCAGGTTAGAAAAACCCAGGGGAATCTCAGAAGATTGTTTGTTCCCCAGCTGCTTGACACTCCTACTGCTGCTGCTCCTTCTTCTTCTACTACATGCTCCTGGCTATAAGCAAAGGTTGACCTTTTCCCCAAGAGGACTGTGACCCTACTAGGTTTATCCAGGACAAACAGCCAGGAAGAAGCTGCAGCCACCAGTGAGGAGTGCGGTGAGGGCAGGGCTGGGCTGCCTCTGATACTGTCCAGACTCATTAAACCTGCCTGGCCAGTGCTGTCACCCAGGCTGACAGACTGCCAGCCAACATCCTGGCTGCACAGATCTGCCCCCCCACCTACAGCAGATCCTGCAACTGCTGCACAGTAACTGGGCTGGCTGGCTCCTCACCCACCACTGAGGAGCACTGTGATGGAGGCTGGAGGGAACCAGAAAGGCAGAGGTGATGTCAAGTCTGGGCTGGAAGAAACCAGAGGATCAGGGCTATGGATGCTGAGTCTACTACAGAGTGGCAGAGGGATTTCACAGCCTCCTCAAACCCTTAGCTGAGCAAAGCTGGGCCTGGAAGTCTCTCCTGTGGCCTCACCTACCAGAACCTCTGCCTGAGCAACCCATCCTTGGGTTGTGTTCTTACCACTGCCTGGGGGCAGGATCAGGATGTCTGCAAGGTTGGGTCTGGAAGTGTATTTGGGGTGTATGGGGAGAAGAACAAAATGAGCAAGTACTATTTAACCAGCTTCTATTTTGTGTCCAGCCCAATGCCAAGAGTTTACATTAATATATCTAATAAAAATTTATTAAAAAATAAAAGTTGAAAAAACAGAGAAAAAAAATTTTTTAAAGTTTACATTATCTGAAAGCTTTACAGTTTCCAGACAAAATGAGTACCATTATTAAACTGTAGACAAATGAGAAAATATAGGTTCGGGGAGGTTAAATAACCTGCCTAAGGTGACCAGCTAGGAAGTGAGTGAAGGGATTGAAAGCCAGGTCTCAAGATGTCAGAGCCTGTGGTCTTCCCCCAGTACCACTCGCTTGTCTACATGCATGTTCTGAAAGGCTTCTTTGAATGAAGATGGCATCTTTCTGCTCATGGTCTCCTCTTCAATGTCTTCCCAATAAAGGGCTCAGTTCTGCCTATATCTGACAGCATGTCATGTCCAATCAGATGCAGAGGAGAAAATCCCAAGGTTGGGGTGGGGTGGAAGTGGGAAGCAGACCAGGCATCCAGAGTGAGGGTGGGGTGAGTGGAGATGTTGTGAAAATCATGAAGGCATTCCTGTGCTGTTTGTCCCTGACACATCTGTCTGTCCCCCTTCTGCTCTGCCTGAGACTGCAAACCTCTCAAAGGACTACTATTTAACTCTGTGTGGGACCTTCCTGGACAATACATTAAATCATTAATGTACATTTTTCCATAGTGATGATGAAGAGAATGGTGATTTTGATTATGAAGTAAAAGGGTCCCAAAAAACCGATGAGGGACTAGTATGTAGAAAGTGCTCAGTGAATGTCAAGTTCACATGAACTATACACTTACCATGTTGCATCTGTGTTGTCTCAGTTGTAGCTGAGCTTAGGGAAGTAGCTGGGTCCGGCAGGCTTGGGCTTGAGAGCTTCCTCTCCACAAAAGATGGGGGTGGTGACAGAGTGGTGCTAAAGAACCCTGTAACAGGAACACATGGGGCTCCAATGCCATCCTATCAGTTGGCTATGGCCTCTGGAAATTTGGAGAAAATCCTGTCCTTCCCCAGAACTTGCCCTAAAGAAGTCACTGTCTCAAGAATTGTAACCACATGATAACTCCATATACCCTGTGAGCTAAGCTATAAGCACCAAAATAAGAGTCAATACAGCAAAGAGAAGGCTGCTCCATGGAGCAGTAGCCCTTGTCCTAGGGCCTGAGAGAAGCAACGCAGGCCCCTGGGTCCAGGAAGAGAGGTGCTGGTCAGCCATTAGCATGACACCTAAGAGTGGGGAATCCCACAACTGTTACAATGAAATGAACACTCACCTGGAGAATCTGACATTCTGGTGGCAGAGTTTGGGGGTGTTGTTGTGCCTGGGGGACTCAGGCCTGAGAAGTTCTGGAGTGGGGACAGAGTAGTGCCAAAGAACCCTGTGAAAGGAGTCTGTGCTGAAACTGCCTCCTACCTGCCAGTGGGCAGTGGGTACTTAGCAGGGCTCTTGTCAGATGCAGTGGGTACTCACCAAAGGGTCCCAGGCGTCCAGCAATCTCTGCCAGGCTGGCCCGCAGACTGGGCAGGAGGGGTATTGTTCGATGCCCGAGTGTGGGGGCTGCACCTGCCCTCAATGCCACATCAAACTTCAGCTCCAGCTCACTCTGCTGGGGCCTGGGAATACTAGATGGAGGTGCTGTGGCCATAAGAGCAGTGGCCCAGGTCATGGTCCCCATCCTGGGCTGATAGGGAGCAGTGGGCTTGTTGGTGGGCCCAGAATGGGGCGATGTGGATTCAGGAAACCAGGAAGGGGCCCAGGGTGTAGAGCTGCCTTCAGCAGAGCCCCACTCTGAGGAGGAGTTTCCCAGAGAGCCCACCAGCAGTTCCCAAAGGGGGTCAGTCCTCAGCCTACTTGCCACCTCCTCCCCTGACTCCTGGCCTGGACCAGGAGAGAGAGGCTGAGTCTCTGTCACAGGGCTCCCCCAGACAGCAGCAGGTCCCCGAAGATGGAATTTGAAGTTTAGTCCCAGGTTGAGAGACAGCATAGAGGCCTCACTCTGTGGTGGTGGGGTCAAAGTGGTGAGAGAGGCACCTGGGGTAGAGGAGGCAGGCTGGGGGCCCACAGGAACAGCAAGCAGGACCCAGCAGAGCAGCCCTAGCCCCAGGCAGCCATGCCCTGCCATGGCCCCACCTGGCCTCAGGGGCCCTGGTGGCAGGGTTCTCACTTCTTCAGCACTTTTTGAGCACAGTCCTGGATGGTCCTGGAGGGAGGAGAGGCCCTGTGAGTCTGCTGCCATCCTCCTTTGCTTTCCCAGGATTGATGCCCCAGACAGAGGCTTCTGATCACAGGGAAGCAGGTGGTGGGGGCAGGATGCAAAGTATTCTGCCCAAGGAGAGAGACATCATGGCTCTTTGTGCCAGCTCCTACCTGTACCTTCAGGCTCCAGTACACATCTCTCCCCAACCCTGACCCCCAGCCCCAACACCTGCACACGGGGGACAGAGATCTTACTGCAACCTGCTGCCTTCATCCTCAACCACAGCAGAGAGAATGGACTTGGACTCCCAGATGCACTCTGTCCCTCCTCCCCCCACCCCTTTTTCTCAGCTTCCGGCCTTCTTCGAATATCCACTGAGGCGCACTGTGTACCAAGCACACTTCCACTAATGCAGCTGGAAACAAACAAACCCTTCTGAATCCTTCTGACCCCCACCTACAGCCCCAGTCGGAGATTTATCACTGGAGAACAGACCCAAGGAGGGGCAAAGCTCTTCTGTGAGTGATCTGGCAGAGTCAGAAGGCTGCCCAGAGAAGCAAGGTCCCTAGTCTGGCAAAAGCTCCATCCCCTCTTTGCTAGGACTTGGTCCGCTCCCTCCTTCAAGACCCTGGAAGTATTTGGGGAAGGGGCCGCTTGGCCATTTCTGACTTATAGGGAGAGGAGGCCAGGCAGGCGAGCTGGACAAACAAGGGGCAGCTGCAGCAACTCACACCCTCTCCCCAGAACTCTCCCCTCTATGCGAGGCACACATATGGTGGAGGAAGGGAGGTGAGCCAGGGACACACGTGCACCCGGCACCCTTACATCACACACACAGCCACACCTAGCACCCGTGACACACTCACCCACTCACCCTTCACACACTCCTGCACACACACACACATATTCCCTCCTACTGAGCCCCTCCCCTTCTACATGGGTTCAGACCCAACCTCTGTGAGCTCCCACCTCTAAACACACACACAGAGCGTATACAGACAGGGGCGCACACACCCCTAACACATATTCGCACTGTACAGACATACACCATGCCGTCATCCCCCCACGCCCCTACACACCCACCCAGCCTTCGCAGACACACACTCACACTCCGCCAGTGTGGACCCTCCAACCTGCTCCTCTTGCTCCCCGCCTCTGGCGGGTGTCCTCGGTCAAGTCCCCCAAGAAGGGGGCAATCGCGGCGTCCCCGGGGGAGCAACGCTCCGAGGAGTCTCACGGGTTCTCTCCGGTTGCTGGAGATCCGTAGCCCCACTCCCCGATGCCCCTCTGCTCGTCCGGATGACCGCAGCTTCGCCGACCCACTGCCCCGTGTCTGTCCCCAGCCCAGCCCGCGGCCCGCAGCGCTCTCACCAGGCGGGCGGCGGGGCTCCGGCTCCGGCTCGGGCTCCGCACTCCGCGCTCCCTCCCCGCCGTGCCGCCTCCTGGCTGCGAGCCCGGCTCCCGGCCCCGCGCCCGCGCCGGGGCTCCGCGGCAGCCGTGCTCTGGCCGCCCTCCCTCCTAGCTCCCGCGCCCTCCCTCCTCTCCCCTCACCCACCCAGCCCGCCGCCCGAGGTCCGCCCCCTACCCGAGCTGGCAGGCGGGCGCGCATAGCAGCGCCGAGCTGTGGCTGCCTGGCTGCCGGAGCCCCACGCGCGCTCTCATTCACCCAACGCTGCCTATCAGCCACAGCGAGCGCGGGTGCCTCGTTCTCAGCCTGCCGCTGGCAGTCACACACTCCCAGGGCCGTCCATGCACTCACATCCACACGCACGCCATCCCCGGGAAATACACCCGCGGGCCAGGGCGCCGTGCGCGCGCCACACACACACACACACACACACACACACACACACACTGCACTGCAGCACAGCACACACACACACACACACTGCACGCAGCACACACACACACACACACACACACACACACTGCACGCAGCACACACACACACACACACACACACCACACACACACACACACACACTCTGCACGCAGCAGTCTGTCCCAGGATGGCGTCCCAGGTAATCAAAGCCACTCTGAAGCCCTCACTATGAGAAGAAGCATACTTCTACATCCTTCTAAGTTTTCACCACAACTCTGTGGATGTCCCCATTTTACAGATAGGTAACTTAAGACCCAGAAAATTACCAAAATACCCAAGATCACACAGCTTGAACCCGGTCTCTCTACCTGCCCTGTCCACCACCTCATAGTTTGCAAACAAACAGTTGTACTGCCACCAAAGGATTGCCTCCTACACTTTACAGGCCAACTGCCAAATGTCAATCCTTGGCAACATTTCTGTGCCAAAACCATCTCTCAAAAAACTGAGTTTCAGAAATGTCTGCTGTAAAGAATGGTGAGTTGACCTGCTTGTGACAGGTGAATTACAACTTGTTTCCAATGAGACTTGAGAGGAGTGAAATGAAAGAAAGAGTATTCAGCCTTCCCAGAATGTAAGAAAACTCCGACAGAGGCTGACATGTCTTGAGGATGGCGGACAGCACCGTGCAATCACCATGGATGCTTCACCAATCCTGGTAGATTGTTGTAGTGACTAATTTACACAAATTTCATTTGTGCTGTTTGGAGTCCCTAAATCCCTTAATCTCTTCTTCCAAAATGCCAGTATTTAAAAGGATCTGGATACAAAGTCCCTGAGGTTCCTTGTGCCATTCAGAGCTTTCCCTCAACCAGACCCCATCCTACTGTGTTCTGAGCTTCATGGTAGGTGCTTTCTGAAAAGTCCCCTCACTTATTCCTCATTATAAGCCACAGAGAGAGAAATCGTTGCCAGCATATTAAAGCCCTGGATGTAGCCCTGAACCGCCTTTCTATCCACACTCCCCCTTCTGCTCTGCAAGGTGATGGTGGGGTGGCTGCCTAAAGCATTACGCAAGCAGTGGAGTGAAATGGCAAGAGCCTGTAATCCCAGCTACTTGGTAAACTGAGGCAGGAGGATCAGAAATTCAAGGTCAGTGTAGGCAGCACAGTGAGATAACACCACTCTATAATCCTGCCTCTCATCCATTCCCCTCCCCACCAAAATTACCTAAGGCAGGTCTCCCTTCAGAGAGCTAGCATCACAGTTTACCCAAGATAGGCATTCATGACCATTTGATAAGTAAATGGATGATTCTGGGGCCCATATGAGGAATGCATTGCATTTCAAAAAGGCATCTGGGATTCAGGATCCAGTTACTGATAACAGAGCCCCTCCTCCCCCAAGTTAATGTAACATCAAGTCAGGCTACCAACTGAGCTCCTCTCAGGGTCTGTCAATGATAAAGTCTGGGATTTATTCTGAGCCCCAAAACTAAACACTTCAAAAGGGACCTCTACTTGTACCCTAGAGGGAAGGGTTTTCCTCCCATCCCTCAGTCCACTAAGGGCTGACTGGAGGCAGCAGACTGGGGTTCAGGCTCTGATTTTCTTTCATACAGTTAATAAAAATTATCCCACTAGAAACATTTTCTTGAATCCTCCTCATAGAAAGGCTCATTTCCTGCTAATCATATTCGCTTAAAGACTTCTAAATGGAAAGACAGAAATAAACATACCTCAGTACATTAAAATAGCAATCCTCCAGGACCAAATAGGGTTATTCCTTGGAATTATATATGTTTTTAAAAGATATTGAAAAGGAAGTTAGGGTTCTGGGTTAAGATGGTGATTGAATACATCTAATTTCACTCCCTCCCAAAACTCCAAAAATAGATTTTTTAAATCAAGAAATCTCCGGCAAACATGGAGAGACCAGGAAAGGAGATAACAGGAGGATTTTTGAGGCGGGATGGCAAGCAGTCATGCAGTAATGGATTTATCAGCCCCAAGGAAATAGACATCTCCAACTGGCAGAAGGGAAACTGAGAGTCAACCTGATTTACATTGCACAGTTTTCAGACAGCACAGAAACTGGCAGTCCAAAGTGCCTCTGGAACTCTGAGAGGCAGGGGGCTGAAGTACAGACCAACAGTGAAATGCAGTTAGAATCCCAGGTCTCTTCCCTAACTCGAAACCGCTAGGCAGCAGTCCTTCCCATATGCCAACTGCATCTGAAAGATTATCCTCTGAAGAAGTAAAATAGAAGGTAGGTTCTTAGGCATGCTGTGAGCAGAGATACCATCCTGAACACGCTGAAATCAAAGTGACATGTCCCGTGGAAATGCAGAATGCAGAGGTCCTGAACCTTCTTCCACAGCCAGGCTCCCAAAGTAGTGGGAGCATGATCCTTGCTCTGCAGGCTAAAGACTGGAAGACTCCACCCTGGGGCCCAAGAGGAAAGACTCAAAAAAAAAACCAGCTCAGTGAGATCACCAGACAGGATCAAACTCAACCTGTGAGTTCAAATTTCTGACCAGCCTCTCACCCCATCCTCCAACCATAATCTGTACCAAAGATTACCAAGCATTCAGGAAAATTTCTAATAATGGTAGGTCCACCAAATCCCAGCACTTTGGATGAAATAAACTTACAGCAAGGCATATTAAAAAGAAGAGTGTAGAAACTTTTAGGAAGAAAAGAAAAAAAAAAAAACCAGAAGCAATGTGCAAAGTATAAGGTGTCAGAAAGACCGAATTTCTCAACAGCAGCATTGGAAGTTAAAAGCAACACTTTCAAAATTTTGGAAAAAAATTACTATCAACCTAGAATATATACCCACTCAAAACTATCAACCAAATAAGATGCTAATATATACATTTTCAGACATACACATTTCAAAAGATTTACTTCCTGTGCACATTTTTTGAAAAAGCTACTTGTAAAATACCCCAGCAAAACCAGAGAAAAAAACCAAGAAAAGTAGATGTGGACTACAAGAAATGGAAATCCACCACAGGAGACAGGCAAAGGAGGGAGCTCCCTGGAAGATGGTGAAGGGAACCCCAGGATTCAACTGTGCTTCATATGTAGAGGGTATTAGA